GAAGGAGCAAAGGTCAGCAAAGACTGGCTGGTTGAGTAAAATGATTGCTTAGAGAGGAGTACAGAGAAACGTATGCATAGATATCCTGCCTCGGGGCAGGAGACGGCAGAGCAGATTCTGATGAAATGGATGCCATGCAAAAAGTCTCCCACACTCCTTCCCTTTCTCAACATTTCTTTCCCTTTCTCTTTCTTCCTCTCTCTACTTGTCTTTTTCTCTTTCCCCTTCCATGTCCCTGGCTCTCTTTCTCTCCCTCTGCCCCCTCCCCTCTCTTCCTGTATCCCTCTGCCTTTCCCTGTCCCTCTCCATTGTTCTCCCTCTTTATCTCTACTAACTCTCATCATCTTTCTTCATCTTAAAAAAAAAAAAGTCACCCTGGCCCTGGTTGGTCGTGTGGGTGGCAGCCACTCGATGTGTCCCTTCACGTCGATGTTTCTCTCTCTCTCTCCCTCCCACTCTATCTGTACAAAAAATGGAAAAATATCCTCGGGTGAGGATAAAAAAAAAAAAAGAAAAAAAAAAAAAGTCAGACTTGAGCCCTAGCATTGTCTGTTTCTTGCTTAAGCAGCCAGCCCAGTAACCAAGGTCTTCCGAGAAAAGCAGAGGACATGTTCCCATCCAAGCAGACAGAAAATAATTAAGTTCTGGGAAAGACAGATTTTATGGAGTAAGCATGAATCAGCAAAGAAACACTAGGGTGAAAAATACTTAAAGAACCTTGAAGTGTATGTTTGGGAGGCCCATGTGTGGTTGCACTGAGCTTCTGCCTCTTTTATTAAACTGGGATTGTCCACACATCAATCTGTTCAGTGCCTTGCAAGGTCCGTCATGCTGCATTTTTTTTTTGGTACGTGCCCCTAGTGGGAACTGAACCCTGGACTCTCTGGTCCACAGGCCGACGCTCCAACTGCTGAGCCAAACTGGCCAGAGCGCATTTATTTTTTATTTTTTTTTCCCTTTATTGATTTTACAGAGAGAGGAAGTAAGAGGGATAGAGAGATAGAAACATCAGTGAGAGAGAACATCGATTGGCCACCTCCAGCCTGCCCCCCACCAGGGATCAGGCCCACAACCTGGGCATGTGTCCTGACCAAGAATTGAACTGGTGACCTCTTGGTGCATGGGTTGACGCTCAACCGCTGAGCCACACTGGCCAGACCATGCTGCATTTTCATCCGAGCAAATAATAGTCATTTTTTTGAGCTCTTGCTACGTGCCTGGGACTGTGCAAACATTATCTTTTTAATCCTCACCAGACCCCTTTTCTGGTAAGTATTAAATTCATTTCATAGATGAGGAGCTGGAAGCTCAGAAAGTTAACTAACTTGCCCAGGAGTGAAGTGAGGCATGGAAGGCGATAAAGCACAAGATAGAACAGAGCAGGGTATTGAGGTGTACTTGGACGTAACCTGCCCCAGATAGGGAGAAAGGCCATAAATGCTTGCCCAGGGCAGGGTGACAACCTGTTCCAGGAACCAGCAAGAGACTTGGGGCGTATGAGAGGGATGGCTCAGATAGTCTGTGAGGTTTAAGGGAAACAGTCTGGGTTGTGGCCCGGGATCTAGTTAGCTTCAGGTTGTCAGGGGTCACATCATGGAACAGTCTCTTCTCAACACATAATGTGATTGAAGGAGTTGCCAGTTTGATATTCACAGTCAATAGAGAAGTGGAGAGTAGATAAGAAAGATGAGAAAGAGAAATGAAGAATTTACAACTTCTCCAGATTTCTTTTTTTTTTTATCCTCACCTGAGGACATTTTTGCATTTTTTGTTCAGACAGAGCGGGAGGGAGAGAGAGGAAGAGAGAGAGAGAGAGAAACATCGATGTGAAGGGACACATCGAGTGGCTGCCACCCGCACAACCAACCAGGGCCGGGGACAAACCGCAACCGAGGTACGTGCCCTTAGCGGGAACAGAACCCGGGTCTCTCTGTACCGCAGGCCGACGCTCTAACCGCTGAGCCAAACCGGCCAGGGCCAGATTTCTTATTTAAAACAGACTGGCCCAGCCAGTGGCTCATGGACTGAGAGGTGCCGCCCGGTTGAATTCCCATGCCTGGGCACATGCCCGGGTTGCAGGCTCAATCCCCAGTAGGGGGCATGCAGGAGGCAGCTGATCGGTGTTTCTCTCCCTTCCTCTCTGTCTGAAAAATCAATAAAAACATATTTAAAACAAATAAAAATAAAACAAGACTGTTTTGTATGTATCTGGGAGGTTTCTGTACATTTATAAGGAAGTATGTGTATACCTTGTTATGGGTTATTTGATGAGCATCTCTGCATATATAGCTCATGTCTGTACCTGACACAATAGAGAATGGTTTTGGGCTTTGGGGTGGATAGAAGATACTGAAATCTCCAAGGTTTTACATATATTGCATGTTATGTGGCTCTCTGTTTATAAAGGATCCTGGGTTTTGATTGTCAGGGTAGCAGGATAGGATACTGACTCAGCCATCATAAAGACATTTTGTTCTCATCCAGATGAAAGTCTGGCAGTAGTTCAGCTCCAGCCTTGATTATGTCAGCTGTTTAAAGACCTCATCATGCATGCATGTTTCTCTCATCTTTCTGCTCTGTGGTCTTCAGATTGTTCCCCATGGTCTCAAGGTAGCTGCCAAAGTTTCAGGAGTCTTACTCGGACCAGACGATGACCAGCAGCATAAGAGCCCCTCTCTATGTGTCACTTTTATTAGCAAGCCGACCTTTCCTGTAAGCGTCATAGAGACCTGTCATTTTGCACTGGCCAGACTGGCCATGTGCACATTAAACCTCTCACTGTCAAGAGAAATGACCTACCATTACTGGCACAAGTAAGATTTGACCTTGAGGTGGTTACAGGGTCACCTTCCCAGGAGTCATGTGGGGGAAAGGTAGATGGCTACCTGAACAGAGTCAGGATTCTGATAGCAAGGGGGAGAGCATAACATGGATTAGGGACAGGTAATCTAGAGTATCTGCTACAATGGGTGTGTGAGGAGGGACAAGACAGGGTGAACTAGAGAGGGTGGGTGAGGGGCTTCCCCTGCATGGGGGAGGGGAAATGTGCACTTCTCCACACAGACATCTGGAAGCCTTTTATTATCTAGATCTGTGGTTCTCACAATTAGGTTCATGGTTATCAAGTCTGACTGCAAACAGGAATCACCTGGGCGGCTTAAAAAACTATTGACACCTAGGTCCCCACCAGAGCTTCTGATATATTGGGATGAAGTCTAGGTCTTCTAGTATGCAGCCAAGGTTGAGAACCAGTGGTTTAGATCAACAGTTCCCAAAGTATCATTGAAGGAAGGTGAACAAAAATGGGCCACATGTTAACCTGACAAGCTCAGGGAAGGCCTGTGTGGCAGCCTTGCACACTCAAAGACCTAACGTAACCACAAAGGATGGTCTGAAATGAAAACTTTTAAACTGAAAGCAGTTTATGGAAGGTAGTCATGTCCTAGGCTGGTATGTTCCCTGACAAAGGTCAACTTTCACCTTTAGTCTATTGTCTTTTTACATCCATAGTAACACACCTTTGGAATGTCAGGGTAAGGGCCTTTTTTCCAGACCCCTCAGGGCACAACCAATGCACCAGAGCAGAGAACACCAATCCCCTCATTGTTATTATCATGTTGATTGTTGACTGTTAACTATCCTGAAAGAAGCATGCGTCTACCCTTTTACTTTTTATACAATCTCAGAAGTTTTCCTGTTTTGCTTTCTCCTGCCTCCCTAATCTATCACCAGTGGATTTCATGTAACCCACTTATGTCTTTTCTTTTGATTGTAATGTATAAAATAAGATGCCAAATGGCCATTCTTTGGAGCATTTATCTCAATCCGTTGAGGTTTTGTTTCCAGGAAATTGTCGACAGTTTTGGCTCAAGTAAACTCACAAACCTTCCTAGGTTTTGAATGTTTCTGTGTTGACAGGAACACGAGCTCTGACTGAGGTGCTATTGTACTGGATGCCTTGGTCACAGAGGTTTGGGAATCATTACAGACTGTGTTGCTCATGCTCATCTCATCCCAAGACTCACAGTGCACATTTAACATATTAAAACTCTGACAAGTCCCATGCTAAAGAACTGGTGTAGCCTTTCAGTGTTTCCCACATTTATCTGATCCAGAAACATGTGGGGGGCCATGACACCTGTTATGGGTTTAATTGTGTCCCCTAAAAATAAACATTGAAGTCCTAATCCCCACTACCTCAGAATGTGACCAAATTTGGAAATTGGAATTGTTGCAGATGTCATTAAGACAAAGTCATAATGGAGTAGGGGGAGCTCTTACTCCAATATGACTATTGTCCTTATAAGAAGAGGAAAAGAGACACAGAGAAAGACATGCAGGGAAGAGGCCATGTGACGGCAGAGGCAGAGATTAGAGTGGTCCATCTACAAACCTAGGACGGCCAAGGATTGCTGGCAAACACCAGAAGCCAGAAGAGAACATTCCCCTGTAGAGCCTTCCGAGGGAGCGTGATCCTGTTGACCCCTTGATTTTGAGCTTCTATCCTCCAGAGACAATAAAGTTCTGTTTTTTTAGGCTACCTAGTTTGTGGTACTTTGTTCCAGCTAACCTAGCAAACTAACATGACATCCGTTAGCATCTCTCAGACACAGTTTGAGAAACCCTGACCTAGAATCATTCAAAGGCAACCCCTGACCAAGAACAAGAAATAATTAGTCCGTAGAAGAGGTCCACACTATTTGTTTTATTTCTAGAAGGAAATAACATTTGAACAGTCTATCACGGTAGTGGCAGTTGTGTGTGTATGTAGATACATATTTTTATTAGTTTTTTAAAAATGTTTTTATTGATTTTTTTAGAGAGAAATAGAAACATCAGTGTGAGAGAGAAACATCAATCGGCTACCTCCTGCACGCCCCCTTCTGGGGATCGAGCCTGCAACTGGCATGACGCTCAGTCCACTGAGCCACACAGGACGGATGAGCCTTATTAGTTTCTTTTACTTACCACGCTCGGTAATTTATCTATAGACACAGAAGTCATTGATTTGGAGGGATTATAGAATCAATGGTAAGTATAAATCTGAGGCTCTGGCCTTCTGGCAACTCTACAGATGATTGTATGTAGATGAACAGTTTAAACCTGGGGCACAGCTGGTGCAGGTTGAGGGGCTTGGCCTCTGATAGCAACTCAGGCTGCTCACTGTAGCTTCCAGGCTCCTGTCTTCTACATTTAATGCCCAGGAAACTGAGTATTTTCATCAGCAGCAAATTGACAATCTCTTTTTCCTCCAACAGCTGCAGAGGGAGAACAAATCATGCAATATATGTAGAAACATCTACTGTGGGGGCTTTTCTTTTCTTTATTTATTTTTAAATATTTTTTTTTACTGACTTTTTTTTTTTTTTTTAGAGAGGGATGGAGGGAGAGGGAGAGATAGAAACATGGATAAGAGAGAACATCGATTAGCTGCCTCCTGCATGCCCCCTACTGGGGATTTGGCCCACAACCTGGGCATGTGCCCTGACAGGAATCGAACCAATGACCTCTTGGTACATAGGTTGATGCTCAACCAGGGAGCCACACCAGCCAGGGAGGGGGCTTTTTTTTTTAAGGGGAAACCATGGTTATATTGTGTAACTTGGTCCCTGCCAAAGTCACTTGCTTTTGTGTTGGGAGTCACCTCCTTCCGGGAAGCCCACGAGTGTGGACCAGAAATGCAGTACATGCAGTCAGCCAATCCTCAAACACCAACCCAACTCTGGGCTCTATCTTTTTCCTTATTTCTCTCTCTCTCTTTTTTTTATTCCTCACCTGAGGACATTTTTCCATTTTTTGCTCAGATAGAGTGGGAGGGAGAGAGAGAGCGCGAAACATCGACGTGAAAGGTACACATCGAGTGGCTGCCACCCGCAAGACCCAACCAGGGCCAGGGACAAACTGCAACCGAGGTACGTGCCCTTAGCGGGAACCGAACCCGGGTCTCTCTGAACCGCAGGCCAACGCTCTAACCGCTGAGCAAAACTGGCCAGGGCTCCTTATTTCTTTTTCCTTCTTACCCTAAACAAGCCAATCCATTATTTTCTATTTTTCTCTTCCTTGTTTTTTTTTTTTTTTTTTTTTTTTTTATCCTCACCCGAGGACATTTTTCCACTTTTTGTTCAGATAGAGTGGGAGGGAGAAAGAGGAAGAGAGAGAGAGAGAGAAACATCGACATGAAGGGACACATCAAGTGGCTGCCACCCGCATGACCAACCAGGGCTGGGGACAAACTGCAACCGAGGTACGTGCCCTTAGCGGGAACCGAACCCGGGTCTCTCTGTACTGCAGGCCGACGCTCCAACCGCTGAGCCAAACCGGCCAGGTCTCTTCCTTGTTTTTTTGTTCTTTTTTTTTAAATCCTCACCAGAGGACATTTTTGCATTTATCCGCAGAGTGAGAAGGAGAGTGGGAGGAAGAGAGAGAGAGAGAAACATTGAGTGGCTGCCACCCACAAGACTCCAACCAGGGCCGGGGACAAACCACAACGGAGGTACGTGCCCTTAGTGGACACCGAACCCGGGACTCTTGGGTCCACCGGCCGATGCTCTAACTGCTGAGCCAAACGGGCCAGGGCTGTTTTTATTCTTTATCCTGTAAAGGCTTCCTACCTTCCACCCCATCTTGCAGTTCTCTGACTGGAGACTGATCACTTCCTGAAGTATTCAACTTTGTATCACCTAAGTTGTCTTTTTTGATTATTTTTAATGGGTTCTCAACCTTGGCTGCATATTAGAATCACACAGGGGGATTTCAGAAATACCCATGCTTGCATAATTCACCCAGGCTTCTGTTTTTATTGGTCTCAGGGGCAACAGTAGTAGTTTCAAAAAGCCCCCAGGTGATTCCAATGTACAATCAGAGCTGAGACTCACTGGTGTCACCAACAGAGTCCCACACTAGGACTCAGGAGACCCAATTCTAGTGTGCTCTTCATTTGCTTGTGATCTTGGTGAAGTAATTTTCTTCTTCTGGCCCTCAGTTTCCCCTCCTGTGAAATGAAGGCTTTAAAGCTACCTCTCAAGTTCCCCTAATGTCTAATGCTGCTCAGCCAACCTTTTCCTGTTTCAGGGTCGTTGACTATTGAAGAAGAGGGGTTCACCTAACAGTATCTTTGCTCTTCATTGAAGGCAACCAGGATGACGGAGATAAATAGATTCAGCAAAACAAATGTCAAGAAAACAATGCAGGAGCCAATTAAGGAAGGAGCCGAGACCTGTTAGGAAGAAATCCAGAGTCATCCCTGGGGGGCATGTGTCCTATTGGCACACCCTCAGAAGGAAAACTGGCCCTCAGAGTTAGGCAGAGCCTGGGCCAGAAGGGTCCTTTTCTGCCTGGGGGCTGACAGTATGGGCAGTGCTTTCAAGAGCTGCCAGGAGAGGGAGACTCCTTGCTGCTGCCGTTTCCAAACATGGGCACCATTTCTGGCTCGGATCAGGAGCATTCCCTTCTGGGGACCCCCTAGCACAGCCCTCTCCCTGAGTAGCCAACACCTGATGTTCTGTACGCGGAGGTCCTCAGGGTGAGCGGTGGGCCCTAGTGAGGGGCTATCTGCCTAGGGGAGAGGGACCCTTTTTATTTGTCCATAGTTACCCTGCACTTGCCAGGCCATGGACATGGGGTGATAGCCTCTGGGGAGGCATCGGAGGGGAATGTTTTATTCTAATTTTTATAAAGGCTTGGTTGGTGTAGGTGGCAGTGCCCATGTCCCCTTACCCTACCCCATTACCTCCTTGTAGTTGAAGATTCCTAGCTAAAGGGTGATCATTGTTTCTGCTGCATCAAAGAGGGTTTTATATGAACGGAGTTTCCAACCAAACATTAAGTTTGACTGTTATAGAACAGAGAAAGAAAACATGCAATCGCTTAAAGCCTGTTGTTTTGACAGTAGAGTCAGTGGTCTGGATCAGCCACATCCTTGGCCTGGCCTGGCCAAGCTATTGGTACCTACAGAGGCAAGTTAGTGCGAGTACATACCCAGTTTGGTGCGAGTACATACCCAGTTTTGTATGGGATGCACGTACACATCCCGGGCTTACGCACCACCCACTAGGCTCCGACTGCAATCACTCAGACGGCTGCTCGAAGAGTCAGTAATGCAACCAGGCTCTCTGAGGGCCCATTCTTTTTGCTGGGGGAGCTGGGTTGGATGGGCAACATAGGCTGCTTCTGCCTGAACAGGACCATCCCCCCACTGTGTTTTTCCCCTCACTACCGTATTCCCCACCCTAAAGATCTTCACACGGCTTCCTGTCAGAGGGAAGCCCATACTCCATTGGCTTGAGCCACTGACTTCTAGTCCGAGAGGACGCTGCAGTGTCCCTGCAGCCCATGCATTGCACACAGAGGTCTGAGTAAATAAATCCACAGGAACTATGGGGTTGGATGGGATACTTTTGATAAAAGTAAACTCCAGCTTTTCAGCATATACCCTCCATCACTCCATCAATGCACCTCACCCTACTGACGGCGAGAGAGGAAGAGGGAGAGCAGTCGGGGATGGAGTGGAGGGGTCAGAGTTGAGGTGACAGGGAAAGGATCAGGAATGCGGAGAGAGGTAGAGATGAGTGGGGATAGACTATTGGATGGTATGGAGATCGGGGGGCGATGGAAAGTGAGAGACTGAGTGTGGCCAGAGTGAGAATTCTGAAAGGGGTTGCGGTGAGGAGTGGGTCAAGATTGGGGAAGGGTGTCAGAAGAGTGGGAGCCAGGGTTATGATGAGAATCATGGGTTTGGAGAGGATGGGGGCATATTTAGATGGAGATCAGGGTGTGTCAGAGGGTCTTTGTTTTTCACATTACTTGATATTTAAAAAGTTGATCCTTTTTTTTCAGTCATAAAGGAAATGTGATTTCTTAAATGCTCTCAGTGTTAAGGGGCTGAATGAAATGGTGTAGGGCATCAAGCATTGGCATGGCCTGCAGATATGCCCATCCTTACTTCTCCGTCTCTGCCCCAGCTCAAGGACAGGGACTGCCCAGTTCATCTCTGCATGTCTGAGCAGAGCTCTGTGCATGTCTGAGCAGTTGGGAATGTCAGGAGAACTGCATATCCAGGCAGGGTCTAGATACAGAAAGGAATCCTTCGCTGGAAATAGTTGGTCCTTTCGGTCTTCAGACTATACCTCCTCACTCTTACCCAACAGAGGACTCCATTTGCAGTGATCAGTTCATGAGCTCCCAGCTTAAAAGGTCCTGGACTCAGAAGATCCATCATCTCCCTCAGGTTTCCAGGGTTTTTCTCATCCTAATCCCCAATCCCCCCACACTGAGAAACCTTTGCTTCCAAGGAAACCATCCCTGAGGTTTTCCCAATGGAGCCACTCACGGCAATGGAGTAAACCAGGAGCATAATAAGGATGATGATGTCAAAGCTCGAAATGTCCCTCCAGGCACAGCACAGGGCTGATGTGATCATGTTCATTTTGGGGTTCAGCCTGAGCAGATGCCAAAGCTTCACCGTAGACAGCAGTACCAGGAAAGCAATGATGTAGCCAAGGACAGCGTCAGCTGCTGCTGTCTCACTGAAACTGATCCCCCTTTGGGACCAAGAGGGGAGACTGGGTCTCAGAGACTGTCTTGAACTCAGCTCAGCCAGAGTTCATGTGGACTCAGTTCAGCCCAGAATGCAGGATTATATTTATTATCTCAGAGGCCATAACATCCTGCAACGTGTCTGGGAAGCAGAGCTGTCCAAATCCCCATAGGTGATGATGAGATGGTGATGATGATGATGATGATGATGATGATGATGATGATGGAGATGATAGTGTTGATGATGATGGTGGTGATGGTGATAGGATGATGGTAGTGGTGATGATGATGAAGATGATGGAGATGATAGTGTTGATGATGATGGTGGTGATGGTTATGGTGAGAATGATGGTTATGATAGGGCTGATGATGGTGACAGTGGTCATAGGGCTTCAGCAGTTAGTTCATGGGGCCATCACTAGCAGTCTTGGTTAATGGCTGCCAAGCTACTGGCAGAATGACAAAGGAGGACTTCTCCCAAGGTCAAGAGGACAAAGGTGAGGGAGTTCTATGAGCCTGCTCTTCTGGTTTGGGGTCACTAGATGTACTTCCTCCTGTCCGAGGGAATGTCCCTAATGCCCTTACATTTGAAGGAAGGATGGAAGTACCATCCAGTTGCTGTGCTGAGAGCCTAATAATTGCATTGTGTCATTTGACTGAAAACCACTGGAGGAGGAAATATGCTATCTCCATTTTACAGACAAGGACAGAGAGCTGCACAAGGTCACACAGCTAGTGACATAGTGGCTTAAATGGTGGTGGAAGAATGACAGTTGGAATCATTCAAATCCAGGTTCTTCCCCATCCCACCCGGCCCTTCATTCCCCTTTCCCGCCTTTGCATTTTAAATTCAGTCTTTTTTTTTTTTTTTAATCCTCACCTGAGGACATTTTTTCATTTTTTGTTCAGATAGAGTAGGAGGGAGAGATTGAAAGAGAGAGAGAGAGAAACATCGATATGAAAGGGACACATCGAGTGGCTGCCACTCGCACGACCCAACCAGGGCCAGGGACAAATTGCAACTGAGATATGTGCCCTTAGCGGGAACCGAACCCGGGTCTCTCTGGACCTCAGGCCGATGCTCTAACCGCTGAGCCAAACCGGCCAGGGCTAAATTCAGTCTTAAGGCCCAGCCATTGTGGCTCAGTGGTTGAGTGTCAACCCATGCACCAAGAGGTCGCTGGTTCAATTCCTGGTCAGGGCACATGCCGATGTTGTGGGCCTGATCCCCAGTGGGAGGCATGCAGGAGGCAGCCAGTCGATGTTCTCTCTCATCGATGTTTCTATCTCTCTCTCCCTCTCCCTTCCTCTCTCTCTAAAATCAATAAAGAAAAAAATTTTTTTAATAAATAAATAAATTCAGTCTTAATGTTGGTGTGTCATTAAGAATGGCATAGATCTATATCTAATGACATAAATGAGAACAAGTTATAGAACAAAATTATATGATCTCAAGTTTGTAAAAGCATTTCTTGTTTTTTGTTTTCTTATTATTGATTTTAGAAAGAGAGGAAGGGAAAAGGAGAGAGAGAGAGACAAACATCGATGAGATAGAACATCAGTTGGCCGCCTCCTATATGCCCCCCACTGGGGATTGGGCCCACAACCTGGGCATGTGCCCTGACTGGGAATCCAACTGGCGACCTCTTGGTGCATGGGTTGACACTCAACCACTGAGCTACACTGGCCAGGTTGTTAAAGCATTTCATATACATACATAATGTCCTAATGAAAGCCATCCTTCTACCTAATCTCCTGCCTTCTAGAATCTTCCTCCCTTTTTTGAACAGACTAGACTGCAGGTATAGATAGTTACTTCCTCCTTCAGCTCCTGCAGTACCTTTTCCCCACCTCTTTTTAATACCCAGCCTTCTCTCATGTCATTTAATTGTTCATATACATGGAAATAATAACCATGGAAGTCCTCCTTTATGATGGCAATTAGCTCTAACGAAACCACAGTGCTCAACCTCATCTACATTTTAGAATAAACAGAGAGACATTTAAAACATTGGGGCTAGGGCTCTGTCCCCAGACATCCTGATTTAGTAGGCCTAGACATCAGGGCTTAATCTTCCCCGAGTGATTCTGCTGAGGAGCCAAGGCTGAGAACCACTGGGCTAAAGGCAGACTATGAAGCACATCATTTGGTCTTAAAAAACACTTTTAAAATTCAGGATCTAACTATAAAATGGTTTATCTATTCCAGCCAGAAAACAAAATTTACAAGTTTCTGAAGCAGACATGGACTTTGGTTATTTGATAAATCAAATTCAACTGAGGGTTTCCTGTAACACCAAACTTCACTATACTCAGGTTCCTATCAAAAGTGGCAGATTTCTTTTGTTTTCTGACACTCAATGTTAAAAGTGTACTCTCGCTGTAAAATTGTTTTATAATTCATCCAAGCAAGAAACCTGTCAGTGTGAATGTAAAAAATAAAACATGTTTAGATCCTTGTAAGGAATCATAACGCATGGCTGGTGTGGGGACAGTGACGGTTCAATAATCACACTGGCTGTCAATGATCTCAGTCATGCATGACCTAAAACAAGCACCCCATTGTTCCTTCCTAGAGCTCTGGCTTTGTTTTCTAAGCACGAGTAGACAGAGTTTTTCTGTAAAGGGCCAGATGGCACATATTTGAGGCTCTGTGGGCCAGTTTCTGTCCCAATGACCCCACCCAGTTTTAGCAGGAAAGCAGCCATAGATAATACATAAAGGGATGAGTGAGTGTTCCAATAAAACTTTTTTGCAAAAACAGGCGATGGGCTGCATTTGGCTCCCATGTCATCCTTTGCAGACCCCTTCAAGAGCTAAATCATTGTTGTTGTTTTTTTATCCTCACCCGAGGATATTTTTCTATTTTTTGTACAGATAGAGTGGGAGGGAGAGAGAGAAAGGGAGAGAGAGAGAGAAACATTGACGTGAAGAGACACATCGAGTGGCTGCCACCCGCACGACCAACTAGGGCCGGGGACAAACTTGCAACCGAAGTACGCGCCCTTAGTGGGAACCGAACCCGGGTCTCTCCGGACCGCAGGCTGACGCTCTAACCGCTGAGCCAAACTGGCCAAGGCCTAAATCATTTTTTTAAAGAGCTAAACCATTTTTAAGTTTTGTTTTTTTTTTTTTTTCATTTTTAAGTTTTTAAAAACAGCTGTTCTGCATAAGGTTTACAATCAACTTGAAAAAAAAAGTACTTCTGATAATTTTTTTAGCTCAAAGAACTCAATTGATACTGAGACATTTTTATGGACGGGGTCTTTAGAGAGGGTGGAGTTTTTGTCATATTTGGAGTGGCAACATGGGTGTGGCACAAAGTAGAACTCAGTTAGGGTTTGTTGAATGAGTGAGACAATCTAGAATGGAGGTTAGGAGTGCAGAGTTCAAATTCTAGGCCCTGCATGTCCTTGCTGTGTGACTTTGCACAGGCAACTTAACCTCTCTGCACCTCAATGTTCTTGTCTTTAAAAAAAGGATGATGATGATGATATCTCAGAAGTTTCAGGAAAGTTAAAGCAGATGAGATAATGCTTTTAAAGTGATGCCTTTATGACTGTGTGCAGCACCCAACAATAACTCAGTACATGTTAGCTATATCTATAAAGTCAGTGAGTCAAGAAACACAATAGTTCAATGTAAAATCTGGGATCCTGGAGACACACAAGCTAGGTTAAAATTATTTCTCTGCCACTTTTTACTGTGTGGCCTTGGGGAAGTCACATTCCCTCTCTGAGCCTCAAGTTCTTTATTTGTAAAATGGAGTAATGATACTCTATACCTCCATCAGTTTTCATGAGGATCTGATTGGTCAGGGCATGCTGCCTAGCACAGAGTGGACACTGGTAGATGGTAACAGACGCAGGTTGATGACACTAATACTTGCAAAAACCCTGCTCAAAAGGCTGGGAAGGACCTTAACAGAGTGCCATTTGGTCCCATGTTTTGGTAAGATTTGCAAAGTATACTGTTTTATTTTGTCTTAGAGTCCCCTCCAATTGCCTATACTTCAGACCACAAACCTGAAGTGATAGCTGTAGTTTTCAGAGTTGGGCCTCAGAGGGTCAACACGATCTTAAAGGCCTCCTTTCACCCCTGAGCCCCACGGGGCTGGAGGAAGCAGGGCCGATGATGGGACTTGGGGCTGAGGCAGAGCCATTACTCCTCCCCGTGTTTCCGGTATTGACAGATGTCTCGCTCTGCTAGGATGACCCTCTTCACAAACACCGCCAGGGCACTCCCGCTGGCCAGGGTGGTGGCCAGCACCAGAAGGTTCCACTTGCTGTGGAAATAGCACCACTTTTGTGTCCTCATAAGCCTGCCCTGGGAAAGGAGCCAGAGGTTCTATCAAAGGCTGTGGCCAGAGCTATGCCTTTCCCCCCCTTCACCCTCAAGGTGGCTCCCTGCACCACCCACAAGGAGCCTCTGGGAGGCAGTGACTGGATCCTTGGAGGTTTCTCAAAGCCCTGGTCCCACATGCAGAGTGCTGGGGGCCTCACCTCAACTTCATGCACAGCCCCTACCTGCTCCTGCCATTCATCTGAGCTGCAGGATTTGGAGGTATGTAAGAGTAAATACAGTATCAAATAAACAAACATTGAATGCTCTGATGCAAGGAAAAGAGGGGAGAGAGGAAAAGCATGCCTCACTATAGAACAGTCACTAAAAAAAAAACTTGTAGTTGTGAATTCTGTCCCTGCCCCTCTGAGATAGAGGCAAATCTTTTTCAAAGCCAAACAAGCCCTTTCGTCAGTTTTACTACTCAGGAGTGTTTTTCTCAAGGGTCTGGAAGGCATCTCTTTGAAGTGTAATCAAGGAAGACAGCACCTCTGACTCCCGGTTTCCTTGAGAGGGTAGGAGTCTAACGGGCAGACACCTGCCTCCACGTTGCAAAACTGCCTCCTGTTGTAAACATAGGTGATGTTTATTTTTCCTTTTCATAAAACGAGTTAGCACACTCAGGTGGCCACCCTAATGACCAGGCGAATTTATGATGGACTAGTGGAATGGATGGTGATATAAGTTCTCTTAAGGATTAATTACTCTTCATTTTAAGAATGTATATGTATGTAATGGATTATATCTGCTTGGTGATATCCAAGGGTGAGGTTTCTTTCGGTCTCTTTAGCAGATTGCCTGGGCTGCATATCACAGTCTGGTTTAATGCTTTTTCTTCTTCTTTTTAAAAACTTTTTTTTCTTTATTGATTTTTAGAGAGAGAGGAAGGGAGAGGGAGCGAGAAATAGAAACATCAATGAGAGAGAACATCGATTGGCCAGCCGCCTTCTGCATGCCCCCCACAGGGGATTTGGCCCACAACCTGGGCATGTGCCCTGACCAGGAATCGAACCGGTGACCTCTTGGTGCATGGGTCGATGCTCAACCACTGAGCCACACCGGTTGGGCTAATGCTTTTTCAATATAAAAGTTGTTTTCCTAAGGGAAGGTGGGAGTTACTGTTGAATGGGTATAGTTTCAGTCTACCTGTGGATTGATTTCTAATGTTATTTCCCCAACAGGTACCACAGGTCAAAAAGAATAATTCTGTGTATATTCTCAGCTTCCCTCACCATTCATTCCTTCTCTTCCCGTCTACTCAAGAGGATGTTCTGTTGTCTGTTTTATTCTCCTCCCCTCTTACAGAAGAAGGACTGATGTTTGGCCGGTAAGAGGCTAAATCTGCCTCCACTCTAAAGGGATGGAACGAAGAGGAAATTTTAAAAACTGCTCAAACAGCATTTTCAGAAATATTTAAGGGCTTTGGAGAGAGGCTTTCTGAAATAGCCGCAGGCAGAGTGTGAGGGCCATAGAACACTGAAGCTCAGGGGCGGAGGATGGGCCTCCTTTGATGTCCTTAGAGAAAGGCTAGGATGTAAGTTGCTATTTGATAACTGTTGGTTGTTGGGCTTGATCTGGATGCTCAGAGACCATGTGGGTTGCCAGGTTATGAGGCTGCTGGTGTGGTATAGGGGTTGAGTGTTAAGATCTGGGGTCAGACTCTGAGGATTTTATTCTGAACTTGGATAAATTACTTCACATCTCTGGACTTCAGCTTCCTACTCTAAATTGGATCCAGTAGGACCTTTCTCCTGGTGCTGTTGAAGGAGAAAATCCACATAAGGCTCTTAGCACAATGTCTGTCTCATAGTAAGCACTCAAAGTATACAGTCGTCCCTCGTTGTTTGCGGTTAATCCGTCCCAGACTCTAGCGGTTGCACCTGGCGTTGAAGGACCCCTGGGGTGCTCGGATACATAGGCCTACAGTCCATACGTACAGTCATTTTAATTTTAATTGTAATACCGGGGTGTATAATTGACTCAGACAACTGAGCGCACGCTGTATCATTTTCACTGTCTCGATCAACTTTTTAATGAATATATTTGGGAAAAAACGCAATAAAGTGAAGCTGCGAAAGTTGAAGCCCAGAGTGGCGAGGGGCGCCTGTATTTCTTACTTTAAAATGGCTGCTGTGGTTTTGGGGCAAGGGATTGGGAGTCGGGGCTAAGATGCCCCTGTTAGGCATCTGGTTTTTATTTTTGGAAAGGAACCTCTAATATGCTTCGGGTGTGTTTTCAGCATCCTCAAACCATCATCATTATAACATCTGCACCTTTGTTGTGCAACTTGGTGGTTAAGGTAGCAAGGGGGGTGTTTCTTAATCCTCCGGGACCACAGTGAGAACAAAAGTGCTGAGAACCCCCATGATCTTAGTTCAGAGAAGCCTCATCTATGGAGAATCTCCACCTCCAGCATTTTTGGAAAATTCTAAGTTCAGCAGAAATAGGAGCCTTGCTCCTCTCCCCACCCCCACCCCCCAGGGAAGACTACCCTCAGAGTTCTTTGTTGTTCTGAGGTGCCAGAGTTGGGTCCCTGAACTAGGCCAGCAGAAGGGCCCCCCAAGGTTGCCGTGACAAACAGGTAAGCAGAACTTTTCCTCCCCCTCCTTCAGATACCACCCTGGGGGAGGGTGGGGACAGGAGAGGGATGCCCACACTGCCATCCCCACGTTTGCCCATGGAGCTACAAGTCCACCCCTCACCTGCACAGTCATGTCGTTGAAGAGGAACAGGAGGTAGATGACTTCTGCCACCACCACAAAGGGGTGCCAGCCATCGGTGAAGGGATACAGGCGCAGGCTCTGCAGGTCTGTGTGTGCAAAGAAGGTTCCTGGGAAGCAGAGTGCATTTCTTTCACCACCACCCCCAGTCCCCCCATTGCCCACCTTCCCCTCCCAATCAGAGCCAGCACCTCTAAGCAGAAGTCATCAGTGGGATGACTTACGCGTAAGCCCTTCTGGAGGCTATCAGGGCAAAAGAGAAGATAAAGGTCCTTCAGAAGCACAGACCCAAGAGACTGAATGGGGACAATTAATGATGTCAAAGATAATGGATAAATCAGAAGGGACCAAGGTTGCTGCAAAGGAAGACCTGCCCCCTACCAGCCAAAGCACACCCACCCACTTGACATCAGTTTACTTCATCCTGGCTCGTTTAATGCCGCAGGTTCATCTAGAGACAGTTCACCGAGGATCCCTTTATCTATTGACCAGTATTGTGCCTACACTTCCTTTAAACCATCTTTCATCTATTTGTGTGTTTTTTTTTCTTTTTCTTTGTATTGAAATTATTTTTTTTATTCATGATTTTTAAAAAAACCAACTTGACTAGGAAGGCTACTGCCTACAAAAACCAAGCCAACCCTAAGAATGGCAGATGGATGCCCTGGCTGGTTCAGCTCAGCAGTTAGAGCGTCAGCCCACAGACCAAAGAGTTGCGGGTTCAATTCCAATCAAGGGCACATACCTCGGTTGCAGTTCGGTCCCCAGCCCTGGTCGGGATCATGCAGGAGGCAACCAATCGATGTGTGTGTGTGTGTGTGATTCTCTTGCTCTCTCGCTGTCTCTCTCTCTCTCTCTCTCTCTCTCTCTCTCTCTCTCTCTCTCTCTCTCTCTCTGTCTCCCTTACTCTCTATCAGATAGAGTCTATCGGAAGGTAAATGAAAAAATATCCTCAGGTGAGGATCTAAAAAAAAAAGAATGGCAGATGAAGGGATGCAAACAGCCTGAGTCCTTACTGACATCAGTGGCCCACTACATCAATCAGACCTGGAAACTATCCCACATTTTATATTTGTAGAAATACATCATTGAATCAGCTGTGGTTGGGGACAAGTTGTTCAAGAGGTCCTTAAAAAGCCAAAGAGAGCCCTGGCTGGTATGGCTCAGTTGGTTGAGCATAGTCCCCTGCACTGAGAAAGGCTGCTAGTTCGATTCCCATCGGGACACATGCCCAGGTTATAGGTTCAGGTCCCAGTTGGGATGGGTGTGGTCAGGGTGCATGTGGGAGGCACCCAATTGATGTTTCTCTCTCACATCAATGTCTCTTTCTCTCCCTTCCTCTCTCTCTAAAAAAAGAAAAAAAATCAATAGAAAGCCAAAAGGATGACAAAAAGAAATAGGAAAGCAAAAGAGATAGAAATAGCTCCCAAAAAGGATTTGAAAAAAAATTTTTACAGTGGAGAATGATCATGGAAACTGATATAATGATAGTGGAAGGCTTTTTCAAAGTTCTGAAAATGTTTAATATCTACAAACATTGCAATCTTTATAAAGGTAATACATATTTTTTTAATGTTTCATTTTCAAAGGAGACGTACTTGAGTTTTAGGCAAATTGATTATTAGCTGAAGAGTCCTTGGGTCAGTGTTTCAATAAATTGTGATAGCATTATAAACAGGTGAAAAGTGGGGGGGTGGGGAGAAAGAACTAGAATAGAACGCAAAATATCAGTGTGTCACGTAGTTAAGGGACATATTTTTGTTATTTATTTTTATTTATTTTATCCTCACCCGAGGACATTTTTCGATATTTTGTTCAGATAGAGTGGGAGGGGGAGAGAGAGAGAGAAACATCGATATGAAAGGGACACATCGAGTGGTTGCCACCCGCACGACCAACCAGGGCCGGGGACAAACCGCAACAGAGGTACATGCCCTTAGCAGGAACCGAACCCGGGCCTCTTCGGACCGCAGGCTGATGCTCCAACCGCTGAGCCAAACCAGCCAGGGCAAGGGACATATTTTTGAAGCTTCTGTGTCAATTGTGTACATTTGTGTGTCAGATTATGATGTAAAATGTACTTCGCACTGTAGATTGAGGTACGAGTAAAATAGTGTTTTAGGTGGAGGTACCTGTTACCAGATCACCCCCCTCACCCCTTACTGCCAGCCCCACCACGAGGAGAGGGGAAGCTCAGGGCTTGAGCTGCTTCCAGACCCCCGTTGGGTTCTTTTAGGATAATGTGGGGGACAAGGCCAAGGAGAGGGTGGGAGAATAAGGCTGGAGCAACCCTGTTGCCTTGCCTTTGGGGCCCAGGGAGAACTGAGACCCACCCCTAAATTTCCCAAACTACCATTTGCCCGGAGCTCCGGCACTGGGGCAGCTGGGCCCCGAGGGACGGGCGGGGGGTTTGTCTTCTGGAACACTGCAGATGGGTTCACAGGCAAGTGCCCACCCAGGGCGCTCGTCTCCAGGGTCAGCGTGATGATGCAGGGCAGGTTGACGTTGGCGTTGTAGACAGCGAACTCCACAAACACGGCTCTGGCCACGCTGTCCAGCCAGGTGTTGTCAGAGAGATACTGGAGAATCCTGTGGGAAGAAGGGCATTCAGGAGTATTTCTGTCCTAAGCGGCTCTTTGCCCCTCCACCCTGGGGAGGTGGCCAGTTTGTTCTGCTCCCTGGGCCACAGGGCCTTGAGGCTGCTCCTGGGAGTGGTCAGTTTCCTCTATCATGGTGTAATGTGTTGGCACCAATGGTCTCCTGGCTGTTGGAGCAGAGGTTCTCGAAGTGGGGTCCCCAGACTGGCAGCATTGGCATAATTTGGAACCTTGTTAGAAATGCAGAGTCTCAGCCCCCGCACTGACCTTCGGAATCAGAAATGATAGGGATACGTCTTGAGGATCTGTGTTTTGATGAGCCCTTTAGGGGATTACGATGCTTTTGAAAGTTTGAGGACCATGGTGTTAGAGCAGCCACATAACACCTCAGGGGCTCAGGCAGGCAGCAGCTGCAGCTGCCAATGTCCCTCTTGGGCTGGCAAGTCACATGAGATCAGTTCCTAGAGATCTATCTGCTGGTGTGCTAGAAATAGCATGTGCTGGAGAGACCTGGGTTCAAATCCTAACTGCCTCGTGAGCAAGCTAATAACTTTTCCTCATCTACTCAATAACTTTTCCTCGGTTTCCTCATCTACTGTACAGTGGTGTTAACGCCAATGCCAGGATCATTGTGAAGAGAAAATGGAGTGAATGTGTGTGTGTGTGTGTGTGGTAATGATAGCTTTTATTATTTAGAGCAATAAGGATGGTACTGTTTTAAAATGTGCCATGCTCCTGTGGGTCTGCATCTTGCTTGGTACATTGGAGCAGGGAGAGAATATCAGTTATTCCAAGTGGCAGGCCTTCCTTACTCCCAGAGGACCCCTGCCAGTATTGTCTTAGGGGTTTGTTACCTGTGTTGTAGGCAGGATGGGAGCCCTGCCATCATAAACAACCCCAGTGTTGTAATAATACAACGGCAGGGACTGAGGCCACACAGCTAATGGGAGCAGTGCCAGGGTTCCAGACCTAGGGCTCTCTGACTCGAGAGTCCACCAGGAAGAGGCAGTCTGCACGGGCCCTGAGCATCCCGGTGCTGGGTGTACCAGAGACTCCACGCCCTGGCTGGGCTTCACCCAGGCCATTTCTCAGGTCTGTGTTTGCAGTAGACAACCCTGAGGGATGAGGTAGCATCTTTCTTTGGACAGACAGCAGGCTTCTGCCATTGTAAAAGCTGTGAACACTTCCAAGCTCATTGTTCCCTCTTGATCCCGCAACTCACTGCATATGCAAGCATCTATCATGGCCCTTGGCGGGGAACTGACTCAAACCACCATGAAGCTCTCTGCTGCTGCATTTACTGTAATGAAGTCCTTGGTCTCTAACCCAGGAGTCTCATGTCTTCTGCCAACATCCATGGAACAGTGACAGGCTAGTTCTTTAGCATAACCAGTAGGGTAAAGCCACAGACCCTGCATGATTCTTTGTAAAATTAAGCCTTAACCACCTCTCACTTGCCTGGGGGGCAGCTCTGTGTGAGTGAGAGCTCCCCGTCTCTGCACTGTCTCTAGCAGAGGCCGCCCCACTGAGATCACCAGGCTAAGATGGCTGAAGGGGCACTTCCCTTCCAACTTTGAGACTGAATCATTCTGAATCCCCCACGATGACATGAATGAGTTTGGCTTAGTCCTGTTTTGAAGCCTGCACAAGCCAACCAGATCTGGACTCCAGCAAATGACTTTCCTCAGCTGTACATGAATCAAGTCAGCCTTACCTTGCTGTGCTTTGGCGATCGGTCCCCAGGGGGACCACGTAACCTCCTCCCTGGTACACAGTGAGTTTGACCCAGATGGGATAACCTCGCGCTGGCTCTGGCTCTGGTACTGCCAAGCCTGGGAAAAGCCATTGCTACTATTGAGATTGGAGGCATTCCAGCCTTCCCCATCGTCTGACAGGTCTTCAACATCCAGGGTATATGGTGCATGGCACCCATCCAGAGAAGTCTGCAACCATGGCGCAAGAGGGCAGGAGTTTTCCCTGACTCTCCCTTGGCGAATCTGAGCACTGCCAACCAATTTCGAGTTCCCATCAGTGATGAAACCTGAGGATCAAAAATAGGCAGATAAATCAAGCAAGCAAAATCATCTTAACACTTTCCAAGCTCCCTGGCCTGGATGCTAACATAAATCTCAGTGTTCCCATTGTAAAGACAGCCAAGAGAAGTTCATGGCCAACCACGGGCTACATTCATCACCGTCTCATCAACCTGGAGACCATCTGTACTTTTTCCCCTCAATGCCCTCATCTGAACGGTCAACAAGGCCATCAGTTCTATCTCTTCATTGCTGTGTGCATCCATTCCTGTCTCTCCATCTCTCATGCCCCTCATCCCTGCATCAGGCCCCATTATTTCTCCCCAGCATACTAACTTACCCACCCTCTACTCCATCTTCCACATTTCCAGAATGATCCTTTAGAAGTTTGATTATACCACAAGTTTGATTATATTAGTCCTTCATATAGAAACCATCAATGGCTCCTCATTTCCTTGAGCATAAGATATGGACGTTGAGACCTTTCATGATCTGGCCCCTGTTTCTCTCTTCTGTTTTGCTTCACAGGTACTCAACTCCTACCCCACACTGTAGCCACACTCAACACATGGTAGTTCCAAGAACACGCCATGGTGTTTCAGGCTTGTCTTTTCTCACGTTGTTCTTTCTGCCTGGTACACTGCTGCCGCCTAGCCAATTCATGCCAGTTACTTCTCATTTAGGAAGTTCCCCACTCTGCATCAGTTAGGGGAGAGTTAGGGCACCTCTCTGTGTACACACAGTCTTCTGAGTATTTCTCCTTTAAAGCATATGGTTCTATGGTTATTGGTTCCGTATAAGGCCGATGTCAACAGAGACCCACACCTGTTTCTAGAAAGAAGGGTGCACCAGGTGTCTGGCACATGTCCTGGGGCAAGGGGACAGTACCTGGGTGATGACTGTATAGGTTTCTCACAAGGGTGGTGTTGGCCCATGTGAAGACCTCCTGGAAGCCCAGGATAGCTGAGAAGCCTTGGGTGAAGCTGTGCTTGAGGTGTCTGTTGAAATGGTAGGCACTGGGGTCTCTCTGCCCATAGGCCGCCAGCAACAGCCACAGGAAGCCCTGGTCCCCAACTCCTACCAAGCCCAGGGCAGGAAATAGAATGGTGCATGGGATCAGAACAATTGAGGTTTTGTAGACCAATTACTCAGCCCTCTGGTGACAGTGGAACTGATTTTTATAGAGACAGCAGAAAGAAATAGAGTTCACAGATTATGAACCTCCTGCCTACGTTCAAATCGTGGTTTCGTCACTTCCTATCTATATGCCCTTCCCAAGCGATTTAACCTCTCTGTGTGTCACTCTCCTCATCTGTGAAATGGGGATAATAGCAGGGTTGTGATGAGGGAGTCGAGAAATTAATATTTACAAAACACTTAAAACAATGCCTGCATCAGTTCAAGTTATATGTGTTTCTTTTGGTGCACAGGACAATGCTCTAACCAACTGAGCCACCCAGCCAGGCTATATGTGTTTCTTAAATAGAATTTTTTTAAAATGAGGCATCTGCCATATTGTAATGCTGAAGATAGAGTAATGAAGATGACAGATGTGTTCCCTGACATCTTGGAGCTCACCTGTCTTAAAGGAGACTGGTGAGCGGATGTAAGAGCCCAAAAAGGTACCAAGATTTAGTTTAGGAGGTCGGACATCAGACTCATGTGGGCAGTGAGGAACCTTAGTGAATCAGAATCTCTGGGCCCAAAGCCTGGGGATCTGCATTTTGGAAACCCCTCCCCGGGATGGCTCTCAGGGCTTTTGCCCACATCCCTTGGAACTCTCCATTCTGCACAGGCTCCTGCTCCTGCACAAGCCCCCGTGCTCTCTGCTTTGGCCGGGGTCGTGCTCAGCCGGTGGGAAGGCAGGCTAGGACTGCTGCAAGATCAGTGCTCCTCAGGAGCAGCCTTCACCAGTGACCTTGGGGGTGACAACTTAGAGGTGTACATTCTCCGGCAGAGGTCCCCAGCAGGACCGAGCCCTAGTTGTCCACAAGGAACTCACTCATCACCCCGCTTTCTATTGGCTTTCTTCTCTCCCCCTGTGTTTCCCCCTTTCCCTACCAATACTTCCCAGGATCACCTCCCAAACCAACCATATGTACCCAAATCTGCTTGTGGGGAACCCAGACTAAGAACACTGAGGCTTGAAATCTCTTGGCCAGAGAGCCAGGGGAAACCTATCTGAAGACATAGGCTTTGAGCTGGGAATGAATGAATAAGAGGACTTAGCCAGAAGAAGAGCTGGGGAAGAGGAGCACGCACATTCCAGCAGGCTAGATGGAACAGCCTGGGCAAAGGCCTGGGGTCAGGAGTGGGCACGATGTCCTAGGAGCTGTAGAATCTTGAATCACTGGAGTTCAGGACACAAGGGGTGGAGAAAGGAGCCACATTAGGGAGTTTGGACTGGATCCGAAGGGCCATGAAGGGCCATTGAAGGATTTTAAGTGTAAGGGGGAAGCTAAAGTGAGTTGATATCTAGGAAAAATGTCCAGGAAGCTGAGTGGGGCTTGTCAATGGTTGCACAGTGTCTTTTCAAGTCTGTGTTGAGAACCAGCAAGTGGAAAGATTGCTTGTGGGTAATCTTGGCTGCCTACACAAGATTTCTCTGATTAGGGCAAATGCTTTCTGTTCCTTGAGGTGGGTGGTGTTCATCTTCTCAGTGTAGGCAGCCAGAGGAGGCTGGTAGACATCCTTTCTGCTGTTTCTTCGTACTCAGAACAAGGCAGAGGGGTCTGTGAAAGCAAGGACACAAGGATAGTTCCCCCATGAGCAGTGGAACCAGGCTCTACACTCACAACCAGGAACAACCAGGATTCAGTTCCTCCTGCGGGAGCCATTTCGCAGTGCTGCCCTCATGCTCTGCCCATGCTCTCTCGGTGCCCAGAATTCCATCCCTCCTCCTTCATATGGAGAATTCTCCTTGCACTGAGAACAAATGCCTTCCCCTCCCTGGACAGTTACTGACTCCTGGATGTGGTCTTCCTTGTGGCCCTGGATCCCAGCACTTCCAAAACTTTGAAGGATGAAAGAATGAGAGTAACTACTATTTCAAAGTCCTGTCATGCCTAATTCCACCATCTTCTCTTTCAGACCACATTATTGAGTTGTAATTTTCATAAATTCATCCATTGGAAATCTATAACTCAATGATTTTAGTAAGTTTAAAACAACCCAATTTTAGAACATTTTCATCACCCCAAACACTTCCCTCATGTCCACTGAAGTCAGTCCCCACTTTCTCTCTTTCCCACCCTTAGCCCCATTAATTTGCTTTCTCCCTCTATAGTTTTCCCTTTTCTGGATAGTTCATATAAATGGAATCATATGTGCGAAGTTTCTTGTATGTGGCATCTTTCAATGAGCATGTTTTGGAGTTCATTCGTGTTGTTGTATATATTAGTAGTCAGTTTCTTTCTATTGTGGAGTAGTATTCCATTGTTTTTCCATTGATCTATTGATGGATATTTAGATTGTTTCTAGTTTTGACTAATATAAATAATGCTGTTATGAACATTCAAGTACAGGTGTTTGTGTGGATATATATTTTCATTTCTCTTGAGTAGATTCTTAGGAGTGGCTAAATGTCTTTTGGCTATTTCAAATGAAGTTGCTACGAACATTTGGGTACAAGTTCCTAGGTGAAAATAAATCTTCATTTCTCTGGGATAAATGCCCAAGAGTGCAGTTGCTGGGGCATATGGTAAGTCTGTTTTTAGATTTGAAAGGAACTGCTGAACTGTTTTCCAGAGTGGCTGTACCATTTTACATTACCACAAGCAATGTATGAATGTTCCAGCTTATCCGCATCCTTGTCAGCATTTGGTGTTATCACTTTTTTTCACATTAGCCATTCTGGTGGGAGTGTATTATCACAACTGTCTTTTGGATCCATTCCCTTCTGCTCACCCCCACTGCCAGCACAAGTCATCTCTTGTCTGGACCATTGTGATAGTCTTCCTACTGGCCTCCCCTCTTCCCCTTTGACCTAAAACCTCTGATATCCAAGAGCAGCCACAGTAGTCTTTCTAAAATCACTAACAGACCAGCTGCTGTCCTATTTAAAACACTTTGAAACCCTAGCATTGACCCAGATCCTACAAGATCCTTGCATGACCTATTCCCCACTCACCTCTGCCCTCACCTTGAGCCATTTCCCCCCAGCCACACTGTCAATACTTGTTATAAAATGACAAGCTATATTCCACCTCAGGGCCTTTGCACATTCCCAGTGTGCAGTCCCTCCCTGCCCCCATCCTTCAGGAGCCAGCTTAGGTACCATCTCAGTTCTCATCACAATTCACACTTATATGTCTACTTGTGCACTTAATTATTTAATTTGTCTCCCTACCTGGGCTGTTCACTTCAAGGGCAGCAACCTGCTCCATTCGGTCAGTGGTGTGTTGCCTGGGGCTCGGGTGGGAGCAGGGATTGACTTCAAATGGGCAAGAGGGAACTGTCTGAGGTGATGAAGCTTTTCCAAGTCTTAATTGTGGTGATGGTTGCACAACTCTATACATTACTAACATCAATGAATTATGCATTATGAGTAGACTTCATGTAAATTATGTCCCCAGGCCATCGCACTGCCTGGCACACAGCAAGTGCTCCCTGAATAATTGCCAAAGAATGACTTAATGAATATTTAATTAGTCCGGAGGCTGGCCTCTCCTTGGAGAAAAATTACTCTTGTCTTGGGAAGAAGATTTTAATGGACCTTTGGATGTGCAAAGTCAAAACCCTAACTTAGAGTGGAAGAAAACAGGCCCATGTGTGGGTAATAACTACACTGCATGATGATGTAGATACATGGACTTTTGTTAGTTCCTGTTTTATTTTCCCTGAGGCTCAAGATCTCTGTACAGACTATGAGAGTGTTGATTCTGATCCATTTGCTTGTTTGCTTCTGTAATTCTCTTATTGTTAGCACCCTCAGGAGAAATCAGGTTGGGGAAAGGGGTCTGGCCCAGGGGCTCCTCCAACAGGGCTCATCTTGACTATGTTCTAGTAAAACTACAAAAATAGGGTGTGGGCTAGATTTGGTCCCCGGCAATAGTTCGCAGACCCTTGTCCTAGAACTCTAACTCACAGTGACTTTGCAGCCCACCTACAAGCTTGTTCTTTTATTGGTTTTCATTCTAAAAACCAGGGACCTGAGCCTTGGAGAAGAAAGCTACTTGACTGCAATTACAGAGAATGATAGCCAACACCAGGCATGGCCCCCAAGGTACCTTTTATGGCCAAGGAGTCATGCTTAGGTGTCAGAGACAAAGGCCCAGGTACAGAAGGAATAAGATTGCTCAAGATTCAGTTAAGGAGACTCTTGTCTCTGTATGGCAGGGGTGAGGGGCTGATGGGGAGCAAAGGTCTGAGGCAAGAGCCACCCACCCCAGTGGCTGGGCTCTGAAGGGCTTTCTCAGATTCCAGGTTCCTGTGCGCCATTACCTGGGTTGGACAGATGTCCTTGGAGAGAGGCCATAGGCTTCTCTTCATCATCCATGTGCTTTAAGACCAGTGCAAAGAAGGCAGCAAACCCCAGCACCTGGAAAATACCCACTGTGAACTCCAAGCCCAAGTTGGAAACTCTCTATCAACCCCTGGTCTGGGAGGGGGCGGGATTGGGGCCACATTTGTGTACTTGGCGCAGGAGCCACACTCTGGGGAAGTCAGGTGGGAACCAGCCCATCCTCTGCAGAGAGGGGACATGTTTATGAAGGGGGAGGCCCAGAGCTGTGTGCACCTGGCTTATACCTCCAGTGTGATGAGTTACTCTTCCCTTCTCCCTCCTTTTCTTCCTATATTACGGGATTGGTGAAAGGGTTAATAATGTTTTAAAGGGTAAAGGCAAAAGCTTGCAAAAGGTGGAAACTGTGAAAAATGCGTTGCTTGCGTGACCTTTGCTCAGCCTTCTGTTGAGTACGGATTATACGGATTATCTGCAAGGCCAGGAACCACCCAGCAGATGCAGGATGAGATACCAGAGCAGTCCAACTGCAGATGGACAAGGGCCATGCAGAGTATGTCAGCAGGAACTGCCGGAAGCTAGAAGCATGGGATATAACCTACATTCCAACTGTTATTCGGGGCTGACTCCCTTTTCAGACTCAGCCCACCTGCACCCAGGTGTTTGCAATAAAGCTACTCCTCTACAACGGCCTTGTATTGTAGATGTGATCTCCGCCAATCAGAACTTTTAATTGGCTCCCTTATATTATCTCTGCTGTAAGGGTTCAGAACAGGCCTCTCCAATAAGTTCTCTTTGGCACGTGAATTATTTGGGGCTGAAGGAATCAAGACCCTGCAAGCTCATGAGAAATTTTTACCTCCCTCTTAAATAATTTATATTAGAGGCCTTGCCCATAGAAGGAGTTATTACGAAAATAACTTTTTATGACCTATTTGTAGGGCAGGGTAAACTTCTAATTGCTGAACTCCTGCTCTTGTCGGTCTGCAATGACCTTCCTCTTCTCTGAAGCCCCAAGGTGATCCTTGGCTCAGAATGTCACACATACTTCATCTTCCCTTTCTGTCTTTGCACCTCATGTATGTGCGTTCTCTGACTCCTTCATGTATATCGGGTTCCCATGCATATGTATGTATTGAATTTGGTTATTTTCTCTTAATCTGTGTCAAGTAGATTTAACTACTAGACCAGCGGAAAGAACCCACCGGGTAGAGGAAAGTTTTTTTCTGCCCCACAATACCTACAGTACCTAAGCATCATAGGGTTCTTTGGTTTGGTTGGAAACAGAATGGCCTAGGGCTCTGTTCTTAAAAATTCTCAGACTGCGTTGGGGGAGGTGTCAGGAATTGTTGGAGTCTTCTGATAAAGGCTGTTCAGCCCTGGCTGGTTTGGCTCAGCGGTTAGAGCGTCGGCCTGCGGTCTGGAGAGACCCGGGTTCGGTTCCCACTAAGGGCGTGTACCTCGGTTGCAGTTTGTCCCCGACCCTGGTTGGGGTTGTGCGGGTGGCAGCCACTCGATGTGTTCCTTTCACATCGATGTTTCTCTCTCTCTCTCTCTCTTCCTCTCTCTCCCTCCCACTCTACCTGAACAAAAAATGGAAAAATGTCCTCGGGTGAGGATAAAAAAAAAAAAAAAGGCTGTTCAGGATGGACCAAAGGGTAGAATGCAGTCAGAGGATTTGTTGAGTCTCACAGGTGTAAAGATTCGCTGAAATGTCCTCTCCCTTCTGCAACTTCCCCCAACCCACACACACAGTGTTCCTATCATCTGAATTTTTTTCTAGGGGAAACTGTGACCCCGAACTCCAGGCCAGGACTCAGTATTCTTCCACTCTGACAGTAACTTCACATTTCAGAAAATAGGAGTATATCTTCCAATTGTTGTACACATTTAATGACTTGGGGTTTTTATCTGAAGGTCAAGTTCCTGTAAATTGCTGGCCTGTCTTACAATTAAAAACATCTTAGAGCCCTGGCCGGTTTTCTCAGTGGTTAGAGCATTGGCCTGCAGTCTGGAGAGACCTGGGTTTGTTTCTCGCTAAAGGCATGTACCTCGGTTGCAGTTTGTCCCCGGCCCTGGTTGAGTCGTGTGGGTGGTGACTACTCGATGTGTCCCTTTCACGTCGATGTTTCTCTTTCTCTCTCTCCCTCCCACTTTATCTGAACAAAATATCGAAAAATGTCCTTGGATAAAAAAAAAAAATCTTAGAATTGAGGAAATTTGGTATTATCTCTATTTACATATGTAGTTTAGGGCCAGATGTTCATGACCTTAACTTCTTAACTTCAGGTTTTCTCATCTATAAAATTGGAGGCAAGGTCCTTCCCGAGGGTGATCATGATAATGAAATGCCAGCATCTCAGAAAACCACTAAGCCTGGTCCAGAGGAAGTGTCCAGGGGCTTGTGTCATCATGGTGATTATCTGCATTATTGTTCCTGTCCCGAGACCTGCACAGAGGTGGTGCTCCGTGTAGGTTCGCTGAATGAATAGATGAAGGAACAGCTGACGAAGGACAAGGCAGCTGGTAGGAGAGAAAGTAAGGGGTCCTGACCTTCCGAGGCTGGGTGACAAGCACACTCTCCACAAAGGAGACAGCCATGGAGATGAGCCACTTGAGGGAGCTGTTCCGCCCCTAGTGCAGGCCATATAGCGTGGTGAAGAAGGCGCCACACCGCTGGTGGCTGCCACCAGGAGCCAGCCCCCCAGGACACCACCAGGGCAGGCATCGAGGCAGCTTGCTTGTTCTCAGGGAGCTATACTGGAAAGTGGATATAGTCAGAGTGACACCACCCACCCCATCAGCTGAGTGACCTTGGCCAAGCTTGTTGACATTGGCCAAGCTCCTTGACCTCTCGGACTCTCAATTTTCTCCTCTGTATCTTGTACCCACTTCAAAGGGCCATTCCATGTTCTATCCAATATACATATTGTAAAAATAATATACATGGAGCCACTTCAAGATTGAGTCAGAGTTGCCATCCCAGAGGAACTGCCTGGCAGTTCCTACTCCTCAACTCGTTGGAATGTTAAAAACAGCAAAATAACCTTTGGACTGGGCCTAAAGCAAACTGCATTGCAAACAAGTGTTTGCAAAGCCAATAGGAAAGCAGGCATTATGACTATTGGCATGAAAGACGTTCTTTAGAATTGTCATCACTATATTAGCTTATCTGTATAGAAATGCCTTTCTTAGCTTATTAACATCCATAGAAATCCCTTCTATTCATGTAATTATTCCCCTTCCCTTTCTTACAAATTGCCCTCGCCTTCACCTCCTAATCGGAACGCCACGCCGTTTGGGTTTCTGCTTGAGTCTGTGCTTCCTGAGTAGCTATTTTGGATCTCAAATAAAGGCTTAGTACCTCTCACTTTGGCCTTTTATTTTTAGGTTAACACTATACATATTCCACTGGAGTCACATTTATTCAGTGCTTACTAGGAGCCAGTCCTCGTGTAACGTGCTTTACACAGATTTGCTCCGTTATTCCTCATGGCAAGCCTAGAAGGCTGGTACTATATAATTTTTTAGAAGTTTTTATTATGAAAATTCCTCCATACAAAAAATCAGCTAGTATAAGGAATCTCCATCAACTAGTTTTAGCAACCATCACCAGCTTGTCATACTTATTTCATCTTTACCCACTTTGGGGGGGGGGGGGACACTAGGCTATTTAAAAATAAACTCCAGACATAATATAAAACCATTCCTCATTACTTCAGAATATTTCTCAAAAAAGTGGTCATTTTTGCCCTGGCCGGTTTGGCTCACAGTTAGAGTGAGCTGGAGAGTCCCAGGTTCGGTTCCCGCTAAGGGCATGTACCTCCGTTGCAGTTTGTCCCCGGTCCCTGTTGGGGTCCTGTGGGTGGCAACCAGTCGATGTGTCTCTCTCTCTTCCTCCCTCTCTCCTTCCCGCTCTATCTGAAGATAAATGCAAAAATGTCCTCAGGTGAAAATTTAAAAAAAAAAAAAAAAAAGGTCATTTTCTTACTGAATTGCAGTGCTGTTGTCACACCTACTAAAATTAATAATTCCTTAATGTCATCAAATAACCCGTCTGTATTCAAATGAAGGGCAACAGAAGCAAAAATATGCTTCTTTGGGGATATTGATTATTTTAGCGTGGTTATTTTTAAGAAAGAGCAGATGAGTGAGAAGCTCTGAAAATCAAGTCGTGGGTGGTGCGCAGGGGTGGAGGTGGATCAGGATGTAGGAGGGATGAATGTTGATGGAAAATAAATGAATACATTTCTGTAACAGCAACAACAAAAAGAAAGAAAATCAAGTAGAAGTTACCCTTTGTAAAAGAACGTTTATGTTTGTAAGGAAAATCTCCATTTGTGCAGTGTTTTTCTCACTGTCCCAGAAAGGGGAAGATATCTAAATCTCTAGACTTATCGGTGGAGAAGGCAGGACTTAAATCTGCATAACAGTATTACTCTTGTTTACTATGCTTTTCCTGCTAACCTCCTATAGCTGACTCCCCATCCCCAACATCATCTTTTGTCTTAAGCTTCTGCCATTTTGGTGAGTTACTCAGTTTTGCTGGGTTTCTCCCAGGTATACAGGAGATATACATGCTATTAAACCTTAATTTGTTTCCCCCTGCTAATCTGTCTCATGTCAATTTGATTATTAGAGCAGCCAGAAGAACCTTGAAGAATAGAGTAAAATTTTTTCTTACCAACACGTTTCACTGGTTATCTTAAAAAATGTATGTTAAGTTCAAATCACGAGATAGGCACTACCATTCCCATTTTACATATGAGGAAACTGTGGCTCAGAGATGTTGAAGGACTTGTCCAAGGACTCACAGCCAGGAAACATCTCACTTAAAAATGGTCATGAACTGCAGAATGCTGTACAAAGAGCTATAAATGTCTTCTTGTTCAAAAACCCCATCCCGGAATCATTTCTGCCTGGGGAGATCTGGGTGAGCATCCTTCCAGGGTTACTTGGGGATGCCCTCTCCCCCCGGGCTCCAAGCTGGGGGTCAGGTGCCCACTCAACACCGAGGGGAGTGGATTACCTGGTGTGTGCTGGAGGCAGAGTGCCCAGCCGTCCCCTGAGGCAGCCCTTTAGGGTCTGCAGCTGCCTGAGGGCCCGGGCATGGCTCTGGCACTGGGGGAAGCCTCGGGGCCCCACCAGCCGCAGCTCTTGTTCCACATGCTCCAGCTGAAGGTAGAGACGCTGCCCATACGCCCCGTTCTTCCAAAGGGCACTTGGGCCCACCTCACGGGCCAGGCCTTGCACTTTTTCTGGAAGACAAGGGACAGAAAGTGCATCTCCTGGTGTTGAGTGACAGCCGACTGCGTGCAATAAAAACAATAGTGTTAGTAACAGCTCTTTTGCATTGGGCACTTACTGGGTGCCAAGCCACAAGAAATCTGAGGTCCAGAAAGATGGGGTAACAACCTACCAGACTCACTCGGCCAGTTAGGATTTGAATGTTCCCCTTGCAGCGTTTTATCAAGGGCACTTTCAAAATTTCCTTACGCATAGACAGAAGTGAAGAAAATAATATAACTATCACCCTGCCATAGCACTTACGACATTTTGCCCATCTTGTTTCACTTGGCCCCCAACTTTTTCTTTCTCTGGGGTACCTTAAAGAAAACCCCGGGCACGGTGTTATCTCTAACTGCAAATGCTTTCACGCGCACAGGATTTGAATTTGAACCCAGGTTCCCCTGTTGCCAAAGATGGTCAGTCTTAATCTTTGGCTTTTCACTTTTTTCAATTATGAAAATTTTTAAACTTACAAAAGTAGAGAGAAGGATGAGACGAACTGTGTATACCCACCAGGCAAAGTGATCAACTCCTGGCCACTCCTGTTTCACCGTTCTTCAACCACTCTCCACGTGGATCATTTACAGGCAAATCCCAGGCCTCGTGTCACATCACTAACTATTGTGATATGCTTCTATGGAAGACACAGTCTCCTTTTTATTCTTTTTTTATATATATATATATATATATATATATATATATATATATATTTAATTAATTTATTTTTGTTATAGATGTTTCTCCTTTTTTGCCCATTGACGCCCTCCTCCTGATACCCCCCTCCCCTAGCATTGCTGTCTGTGTCCAGTTGGTTACGCATACATGTACATAAGTTCTTTGGTTTATCTCTAAACCCCCAACCCTGCTCCCTCTTCTGAGGTTTGTCAGTCTGTACCCCTACTACTATGTCTCTGGTCTCTCTCCTTTTTTTTTTTCTTTATTGATTTTAGAGAGAGAGGAAGGGAGAGGGAGACAGAGATAGAAACATCAACTGGCCGCCCCCTTGCATGACCCCCACTGGGGATTTGGCCCACAACTTGGGCATGTGCCCTGTCTGGGAATTGAAACAGCGACTTCTTGGTGCATGGGTCGATACTCAACCGTGGCCACACCAGCTGGGCTCTGGGCTCTTTTTAAACACCAAGCCAGGATGTCATGATCAGTCTTTAGAATGATTAATAATGATTCCTTAATAATATTGTTACCAGAGGGAAGAAGGGGCCTGATGCCTCTAACATTTGTGGACAGGAGGTTCTTGGGACATCTTTAGAAAATGAATTTTCAAAGACTTGCACGGGAGAATGTGTGGTTTTTATTGGCGTGGAGTTACACTTTGGGGGTTGTAAGGTCCCGTGTCCTTCATCCAGCCCCAGAAGAGGGGCAGTTGCGAATTCAGCAAGGCCAGAAATAAAGCCAAAGTCCAGAGTGTCCGTGCCAAGATGCAGCTGGGTTCAGATCAGGATCAGGCTAGATTCAGTGCGTCAGTCCATTGTATGGGATGCAGGGCATGAGAGCCTCGCAGACTGGGAGTCTAGCTTGAGTGGCAAGAGAGAGAGAAGCAAGAGGGCAACCTTCCCTTTGTCTAGGTCTCCTTTCATGGGCTTGCAGTGGCCACGCCTCTTCTGGCCAATGACTCAATCCCAGGTGTGATGGACAGGTAGGCTCCTCCCAAGATAGGTAGGCACCTCCCACATCACTCAGACTTCACTGGGTGTGTATCTAGACTCCCGTTGTTCAGGTCTTTTCCCCCACCAATCAGTTAATACTTGGAGTATTAACTCACCTAATCTTCCCTTTGCTCCTTTCCTATTAAATAATAACCAAGTTATTGCAACAACATCAGTATGAAATATCTAGTCAGTGGTCAAGTTTCCCCTGATTATCTTGTGAATGTTTTCCTACAATTGGTTTGTTCAAATTTCAGCTTCCTAAAAAAGTGTTTTACCATTTTTTTTTTGCTTTAAAGAGGTAATACACATTTATTGTAAGAAAAAAACAAATTTGCCCTGGCCGGTTTGACTCAGCAGTAGAGCATTGGTCCGCGGACCAATGAGTCACGGGTTTGATTCCAGCCAAGGGCACCTACCTCACTTGTGGTTTGTCCTGGCCTTGGTCAGGCAACCAGTCTATGTTTATCTCTCTCCCTTTCTCTCCCTCTCTCTCCCTCCCACTCTATCTGAAGATAAATAGGAAAGTATCCTCGGGTAAGGATTAAAAAAAGTAAGGACTGCCCTGGCCGGTTTGGCTCAGCGGTTAGAGCATCAGCCTGTGGTCCAGAGAGACCCGGGTTTGGTTCTGCTAAGGGCACGTACCTCGGTTGCAGTTTTTCCCCGGCCCTGGTTGGGTCGCGTGGGTGGCAGCCACTCGATGTGTCCTTTTCACATCGATGTTTCACTCTCTCTCTCCCTCCCACTCTGTCTGAACAGAAAATGGAAAAATGTCCTTGGGTGAGGATAAAAAGGAAAAAAACAATTTTGAACATTTCCACTATTTCCTGTGCATTCTAAGGGAAACTCTATCTCACTAGGCAGAACCAGGCCCAGGTCCCCAAACCTTGAGCTGGGAGGCTAGCACCCAGGGACACTCTCTGGTGGCAATACAAGCTCTGACGCAGCCCTGTCCTGTGATCCTTATCCAGTCGCCAGTGAGAAGTGAGTGTGGAGAAGGCTATGCCTGGCTCAGACTCAGTGCTGGTGAAGGCCTAGGGCGACATCGGCTCCTCCTCCCCCGACTCAAGCCTCCTCCCAACCCCTCCTGACCTGGGACTCCCTCACTGAAGCTTCAGCTAAGGTTCCAGCATCAACAGCCTTCCTGTTGCAAGCGTTCTGGTGATGTTTTTGAAAGATGCCGTCACTCCCAATCGTAACACCCATTACTGAATACCTGCTTTGTGTCAGGCTGCAGTCTGAGTGTGCACGTGTCTTATGATCTAATTCAGTCCTTGCAACAAGCCAAGGAGCTAGGTGGATACTTCTATTATTTTAATTAAGTTTAATTTAAACAGCCGCATGTGGTGAGTGGCTGTCATATTGGACAGCGCAGATAGACACCTTTGGAAAGTTCAATTGGACAGCCTTGTCTAAACACTGGCAGCGTGGGTCTGGGTGGAAGATGGACAGGAAAGGGGCAGGAAAGGAGTCAGACTAATTCAAACCAGAATAATGTGCCATACATAGAACTTAATAAAGATGAAACCATGTTACCCAATTCCAGCTCTGAGTTCGAGGCCTGCTATCTCTCTGCCAAACAGAGATTAGCAAGTGTTAAAGACGGTGGTACCAAACTAAGACCTTTTCCTTGACTTAATTAGAAGGATTAGGAGAGAATGGAGAAAGAATAACTTTTCTCACTCTGCAGTTCAATGTTCTTTAATGATTTTACTGCCTTATCTGTCATCTTGTGTCCTGCCCCACACATTCCGAAATGGATCTGGTTTGACTGTGCGTCCCCCAGCTACTTACAGAAAAGGAAACTGAGGCACAGAGAATCGAAGGTTACCCTACTTGGTATGACTTGCAGGATATGTGGAGGCTTGTCAGCTCTCTGTTTACACAGCCAAGGTTACATAGCCCATTAATGGCAGAGCCAGTACCCAGACATGGTTCTTCTGAGCGACCCAAGTATCAGGCCGGCCAGTGCTCTTCTTGACTAAACACAGAAGAACATGACTTTTTGCTTTGTGCATTCCATAATGACCTCCCATGCTGAAGTCATCGTGTGCATGTTTGTTACGTGCTTTCTCTGTGCTGCACGGGGCCAGGGACCGGGGAATCAGTAGACACAAGATAGTCAGATGGCTCCCACCTCACAGAGTTCATGTTCCAGGAAGATGGTGCAGACTTTAAACAGCTCTTCAGGGCTAAAGAGCACATGGTTGGAGACCCTGTTGTGGGCTGGGGACTTGGGTTGCTTCCCTGAGGAAGGGGTGCTGAACCCAGACTATGGGCTTAGTGGGAGTTAGCCAAGTGAGGAGAGGAGAAAGAACATTCTAGATTAAAGGACCAGCCTGTGTGAAGGCTGTTAGTGGGAAGGCGCCTATGGTACTGAGAGGGAGGTGGTGACAAGTGGTTGGCATGAAGGCTGGTGAGGGAGAGACTCTGGTAGAACTTCTTGACCCTTTAGTGATATAGACACGGCCCTCAGTCCTGTCTCCACCTGGCTCCAACATGCCCCTAGTCAGCACAGAAACGTCAGGACTTACCTTTCACGTGTACTGACCCAAGAGTGAATGTTAATGGGTCCGCTCTCTGTTTGGCTTCTTCCCAGAACACCTGCCACGTTCTGCAGACAGATGATGTCTTCCAGCAAGGCCAGCGGTTGGTTGATGTCCGTTAAGTTTGCCAAGTCCCAGCGCAAGGCAGGGGATGGCACCTTCAGAGCTTGACAGGGAGCTGACAAGTCTCCACATGTCCTGCAAATCATACCAGGTAGGGTAAGGGGATGTAAACTACAGGTAAGGGGGGTAGCAAAGTGGTCAAAGCATTTGCTCTGGATCTGGACAATCTGGGTTTGAATCCCAGCTCTGCCCACTGAGACATGATGTTGGACCAGCCTGAGCTGCCATTTGTCACCTATAAAATTCCTCTTCTAGGATTTGAACTGGTACATTCCAGGTGTATTCCTCAAAGTGTAGCACATCGTAGGTGCTCAATAAATGCTTACTTACTGAGTGCATGAGTACAGAGGGTGTCCCTTCTGTGGGCTTCCAATCTGTGATGTGTAATATTTTGTACATAATACGTACCACCAAAATGTGTGTATGCATGTGAGTGTATATGTCAGTGTTTGTCTGTATATATATGTGTGTGTATGTGTGTAAACAGTTATAAATTTGTGTGTGCATACATGTGGATATGTGTGAATGTGTGTATATGTATGTGTGTATCTGTATGCATGTACATGTTTGTAGGTATGTGTGTTTCTGAGTATGGTGTGCTTGTATGTGTATACACATACATGTGTAGGTGCACATGTGTATATGCACGTGTGTGTGTGTGTGTGTGTACTTGATGAATCTTGATGACTGTTGCTGTCAGACAACATGGGGTTGTCAAGCCCCAAGCCTTAGTCCCCGCCCCCACTTCTGCCCAGGCTGGAGTACCTCCCATACCACCAAGGTTGAGAACAAACCTTGGTCACCACTTCAGGTGTCAGAAGGCCATCCTCCATGGGCTGTGGTGAGGGGGCTGGACTGGGAGACCCCCCTCTCTCCTTTCCCAGTGTTCTGCTCCTTAGTGACCCAAGGACGGGTATTTCGAAAGATCTGAACAATCAGGAGGTTGACGGGGAACATGAGGACAGAGCTCTCCAGCCCAATCATCACTTCTTGCCAAGTGAATTCAATTTTACCTGGGGCAGAGAGTCTCCCGCACCCATTCCAGGAGGCGACCGTGCAGGAAGGATTAACCTTGCCCGAGGAGAGGTTGGCCCTTGAGTTGCTCCTGGGAGGTGACCTCTAAGCCCTTGGGATGTCCTGCCTTGTAGGTATGCCTTTGTTTACCAGGGGTCTTGGGCCCCACTGTATAGTCTGTGCCAATAGTGTGATTTATAGTGGGGACCTTGGCCACATGGTCTGGAGGGGCTGGAGGCTAAGGTCAGCTATGCAAGGGATCAGCCACATCTATGTGAACAAGCCCCAATAAAAACTCCGGACACCACGGCTTGGGTGAGCATCCTGGTTGGCAATACTCTGTGTATTGTCACACGTCATAGGGAGGAGCGAGCACAGTCCTTGACTCCGCTGGGAGGAGACAACTGGAAGCTCCATGGTTGGTCTCTCCTGGACCCTGCCCCATGTGTCCCTTCCCTCCCCTGGCTTTAATCTGTATTTTTTTCTCTGTAATAAGTGTGCGTATGATGGTGCTTCTGACTTCTGTGAGTCCTAGTGAAGTACTGAAGCTGAAATGGTCTTGGGAGATTTGGAATTGCGTGGCATTTCTGGGTCACTGACAGTTCATGTCCACCAGCCATCACCCTCACTGTCATGACAGTAGGAACTACCCAAGTCCATTTTTCGCTCAGCTGGGTCCTTGGGGACACCGCAGAACATGATGCTGGTCAGCATGGTGCAAAGGAGCAGGGAGAAGCAGCAGGACACCCTCTGGACACAGGTGAAGTTGCTCCAAGCTGAGGAATACCAAATGTGTCCATCCTGGAAGCCCATGGAGGTCTTCATGAAAAACAGGTAGCCGTGGACAGGGGACACGCAGTTAAGGAGCTAGGAATGGGAGAAGATTGGTCTCTGGAACCAATGGGATGAGAGGGTGGGATTTGTTTCTAAGAATGATCATCTATTTTTCTATTATAAAAGAAATACAGCATCATAGCAGCATCCCTTAGAGTTAATGGGGACTCCAGACAGAGTGGGTTGCAATCCTAGACTGCCCTCTTACTAGCTGTGTGACCTCAGGCAAGTCACTTTACCCTTTGCACCTCAGTTCACTCATCTGTAAAATGGGGGTAATAATGGAATCTGCCTCACCAGATCATTGGAAGAATCAAAAGTGATCATTTTTGTAAAGCATTTGGCAAAGTAGCTGGCATATAGGTGAGTGTTCATCAGTGTTAAAAATGATTATTTTTGTTATAATTTTACTGTAATAATATAGCTATCATATTATTGGATTTGTTGTAATTAGAGCATTAAAAGATAGTGGTTAAGAATTCCAGGCTCTGGGTTCAGACTCAGTTTGGGAGAATAAAAAGTGGCAGAAAAGGTCTCTGAAAATGGTACCACATTCTCCTTAATCTGTATTATTTCTCTATGAATACAATGTAGTTGAACCACAGGAGCTCTTCAAGGGCCCAGATTCTTCCGAGAGTGTGCAGAGCTGATATTCCCAGCTGGCTCTATTCTTAGTGGTCAATGCCAGCACCCTTAAGGGTTGTACAATACTTGGACTGTCACTCTGGGGTGTGCAGGTGGCTTGGACTCAGAGTAAAGATGCATAAAGAGAGAGGTCGGGTCCAGCCAGTGTGGCTCAGTGGTTGAGTGTCGATCCATGCACCAAGAGGTTGCCGGTTTGATTCCCGCTGGGGACACATGCCCAGGTTGTGGGCTGATCCCCAGTGAGGGGCATGCAGGAGGCGGCTAATCGATGTTTCATTGATGTTTCTATCTCTCTCTCCCTCTCCTTTCCTCGCTCTCTAAAGTCAATAAAGAAAGAAAGAAAAAAGAGAGAGGTCATTTGCCAACAACAGTGATTTTCCACATGATTATTCTATTCATTCAACAAATATTTTGTGATCCTAGTGCTGTGTGCCAGGTGCTCTGCTGGGCACCAGGGATTCATGGAGGAATGACAGTGTCCTGCCTGTAGAGGGCTCCTTATGTAGTTTTTAGGCGTCACACATATTGATATAATTGGAGGATAGTCTCTCCTCCTGACACTTACTCTGAGCCACTCACCGTGCTAAGCATGTTACTGACATCGTTTCATGGGACCTGCACAAGTCCCTTTTGGGGTAGGCACATTGAACAACTCATTTTTCAGGTGTGGAAGCTGAGACCTGGAGAGATGAGGGACTTATCCATGGTCACGCAGCAAGTCAATAGCAGGCAAGAGGGACTTTGTGGTCTATCTCATGTCTTTATTATACCTCTCTTGGGGTCCAAGTCTCTTTGTGGTCCATCTCATGTCTTTATTATACCTCTCTTGGGGTCCAAATCTCTCTGATTCAAACTTTTTCCCCCTTGGAGGCTGAGCTGCTGCTCACAGTGGGAGCTGGGAGGAAAAGTCACATTTTAGTAAATGCACTGGAAACAGACTGTTTTTTAAAAAAGACTAACTCAAGTACTATTTAAAGTAGAGGTCATAAACTCAGATGCTTAAAGGTGCCCAGGTGGATGTAAATAAGTCAAGTAAATGAGTGAAGTGGGTTGGAAGCAATGTAATAGGGAGTGGTGAGGACTGCGGTAAACTGGAGAGCACACGGTCCTTGTAAGAGGAAGGCTGGTACTCAGCTCCAGCCTATTGGTGTCATGCAGGAATGCTGGCTCGCATTTCCATACTTGCCATTTTTTGGTGATGTCTCTTGATTTTTAAATATTGGAAACAGACTTAATATCCACTGATAAGAGAATGATTGAATAAGTTGTGGGACATTCATTCAATGGAATATTATGCAGCCAATAGGAAAGTTTGACGTAAATATACGCTCCTAGAAGGATGTTTATGTTATGTCATTAAAGAAAAAAAGCAACATATTTTGAGTGACATAATTTTCTTTTCCTTTTTCTTTTTGATACATGCCCCTAGCGGGAACCGAACCCAGGACTCTCTGGTCCACAGGCCGATGCTCCAACTGCTGAGCCAAACCGGCCAGGGCTTGAGTGACATCATTTTAAAAGACAAATTAACAACAATCTATGGTGTTATATGTGTGTGTACATTTGTATCTGCTTGTTTGTGTTTGGAGACAGATGTGGAAGATCCATCTAGTGTAAAATAACATGAAGAAATAGCCTAAAATGACCAGACATTGAATTACCATTCAAATCAGTCTGTTCACTCATATAAAAATATTATCCTGTGACATTCATAAGGGAGTATGCGTAACTGTTTCAACCATTTTCATCACCTTGCAGATAATTCTATCTTGAAGGGTCCATGTCCCCCCAGAGCCTGTCAATCCCAACAAGAGAAAGTGATCAATCATTTGTCACACGCAAAGCTGCCCAGTCCTGATAGCTTGAAATGTGCTTTTATTTGGCTGTGACTGGACTGTGAAGCAACTTTCCTAGAAAGGAAAGAACAAAATAAAGAGTATTTGCTTAAAAAGAAAAAAAAAAAAAGTACCTGAATTGTTTCCTGTCCAGCTCTGAGGCCACTGGAAATACTTTGTCAAGGACAGTCTCCGACATTGATGGACAGCCACGAGCTAGAGGAAGTACCACTTCCAGTCCATCGCCAGGTCATGCACCAGCACCTGGCCATACCTGGAGAAAGGACCCACGCTTTTGAGGACAAGGTCAGGGGACAAGACTTATTTGTTTTTTGTAAATCCTCACCCAAGGATATTTTTCCACTTATCTTCAGAAAGAGTGGGGGACAGGGAGAGAGACATCGATGTGAGAAAGACACACACCGATTGGTTGCTTCCTGCTCGACCCTGACCAGGGCCGGGAACCAAACTGTAACCAAGGCACGTGCCCTTGACTGGAATAAAATCTGTGACTCTTTGGTCCACGGGCTGATGCTCTAACCACTGAACCAAACTGGCCAGGGCGACAAGACTTCTTTGGACACCCCAAAGGTAAAACCTTTGCAAACCTTAGCCCAAGAACAAGAGCTCCTGTAAAGGGAGACTTTATTTTTTTCTTCACTGTGCTTGATGCCTTGATCAAAACCCCCCGATCAGTGGGTAAATTTGGCCTCATGTGAGGAGCTCAGCTAGGGTAGAGAGCCAGCTATTGAAGGCTGCCATGTTCTCACAGATATGCTACAAGGGGGTGCATTCTGAAACCATTCACCCAACAAAGGGCAGCAAGCCCAGGGCCAGCATCCAGATACAAGTGAGGAAAGCCAAATTGTCTAAATGTGTGTGTTCAAGGAGGTACAAACTTAAATACACAAAATGTGATCCTCGCGGACTTCCTTCCACCCAGGTAATGAGTCTAGCATCTGTCTGGGACTCAGGACTTTGTGAGTATCATCTAACCTGAGTTAGGTCTTTTAATCTCAGGGAAGAAGCAAAATCATCCCACTTCTGTTGGAATGTCAGATCCAGCAGCAGCCAATTTCCCTATTGTCTTACAGCCAAGAAGACTAGTGATGATATCAGTAGCCATTCCTTTTTTTTTTTTATCCTCACCCGAGGACATTTTTGCATTTATCTTCAGATAGAGCAGGAGGGAGAGAGGGAGGAAGAGAGAGAGAAACATTGATGTGAGAGAGACATATCAACTGGTTGCCACCCACACGACCTCAACCGGGCCCAGGGACAAACTGCAACCGAGGTACGTGTCCTTAGCGGGAACCGAACCCAGGTATCTCTGGTCTGCGGGCCGACGCTCTAACTGCTGAGCCAAACCGGCCAGGACAGTAGCCACTCTTTATTGAGCATTTACTGCATAATGAGAACTATACTAAGAATCACTTAACATGCATTTTCTCACTTCTGGGAGGACAGCCCAGTCAGGCATACCGGGGCTACGTCTGTCGAGGTCACACAGCCTCCTGGGGAGGCTGACATCCAGTGACTGATGGGTGCCTGGGCATGGTCAAGACCTGGGCATCTCAACCCAACTCGGGATAGCTCCAGAGCTCCCTGGGGGGGCCAACCAGGCTGTTATTGGGCTGCACTAAAACTCCTCCCTCTGCTCACCCTGCTTCCTTCCCTCCCTTCTCAGACTGACCCCACGTACTCCTTGATAAACACCCTGCATGCCCAACTCCATCTGAGTCTGCTTCACGGGGACCAACTACCGCTGAGGCACTTAAAGTATCAATGTTTAATTTCTTAGGTAAATCAAAGACGGCAATATAAATGCTGTGTTTTCTAAAGCTGCCAGCTGCTGATATGTAGTCAGGCTGGAACCCACTCATCTGGATCACTAGCTTTGACCTCAGACAATGGGGAGGAGTCTTGACTCTGAACTTGCCAGCTGTGTGACTTTGGGCAAGACACTTATCTTCCCCGGGCTTAGCTATTCCACCTGTAAAACGAGGATAATAACAGTACTTGTCCTTGAGGGTCACTGTGAAGATGGCCCTCGCTTAGTGCTCAGCAGCAGCAGCTTCTCTAACTAGAGAATCAGCTCAGTGTCTCAGGTAGCCTCCTCTTATTGGGCAGGGTTTGTCTTCAATGTTTACAGATGGGGAAACAGGAGCTAAATGTAGGTCAATGTTGCAGAAGTGCCAACGGTGGGGCTAGCACTGGACCCCACGGCTGCAACTTCTAGTTTCTCTCCTAGGTACTGATTCAGTCTGTGTGGCCCTGGACTGGTGCCCTTTCTGACCCTCAGTTGTCTTATCCGTAAAAAGGGGATTCATTCTATGTGTCTTGCAGAGGCTTGTAAGGAATAACAAGGCAGCAAATGCACAGTGCCCAGCCCTGGCCTAAGGCTTAGTAGGTTCTCGTGGATTGATCACCCCCGACTCACCAAGATGGCCGGTCCCCTGAGCTGTCATGCCACAGCCGCAGGCCCCTCAGTTCCCCCAGGGAAACAGGGTGGAGAGTAAGAAGACATTCACTCCTCCTCGTTCAAAAACTGGGATGTTGGGGTCTGACAGGTGGTGGGGCTCCCTCTCTCCATCCACGCTATATAGGGTGATAGTCCCCTGAAATCGAGAGACTACGAGTGGCTAATTCCACATAGTAACCGAAGCCTACTGGCCGTATTTCATTAGAAGTGTCAAGAAAAGAAGAAAAACCAACAAAGCATGGCCCTTTAACCTTCTCCTCCCCTCCCATCTTGGACCTGCCTGGTTATTTTTCAGCTGTATGAAGATCTGGGGTGACACTATCTGCATTCATGTCTTCAAGATGAGTTTTACTCACAAAATGCTTCCTGGTGGCTTTTTCACTTTCCATACATTTATTTGTGGGGGCTGCAGAGCAGGAACTTGTTTCTCCCCTAACAATTATATTCCCGGTGTCTCTCAGAGAGCCTGGCACTGAGACATGAATGAATGAGTGCCCATTCTGTTGAAAATACATATCCCCGGGCCTTGCTCCACACCTACCAAGTAGGAATATTGCGGACGGGGCCCAGGAATCGGTGTTTTTCGAAAGCTGTCCAGGTGATGCTGATGAGCATGCCTGATTTTCTGAGCTGAAAACAGCTGCAGTAGATGCCACCTGTGCTCGGCTGACATCCCTTAGCCTTGCCACTGCAGCAGTCCCTGCACTCGCATCCACTGCCAGCAGCTGCGTCTCTTTCCCCAGTCATTTCTCTGGCTGTTAGAGTAGCAGGCCAGAAAGTGCCAGAGAATGGATGGTCCCTGCAAGTCATCCTCCATCAAATGACTGATGGGATTGGTCTATAAATACCTCAGCTCCCTACCATCCTCAGCCTTCTGCTGGGAGGATGTTGAAGCCCACATTTCTTACTATTTTGGAAAGTCCCCAAGTGGGATTAGGCTCCAGTTTCCCATAAGGGTAACAGCTTAACAATGCATTTTTTTTTTTATCCTCACCCGAGGATATTTTTCCATTTTTTGTACAGATAGAGTGGGAGGGAGAGAGATGAAGGGAGAGAGAGAGAAACATCGACGTGAAAGGGACACATCGAGTGGCTGCCACCCGCACGACCAACCAGGGCCGGGGACAAACTGCAACCGAAGTACGTGCCCTTAGCGGGAACCGAACCCGGGTCTCTCCGGACCGCAGGCCGACGCTCTAACCGCTGAGCCAAACTGGCCAGGGCACCAATGCATCCTTTATTGGTTCCTTCCCTTCCCTGTCTGCTTACCATTTCCCTACTGCAGCATCTTAAGTTTTGCTCTCAATTTCTCTGATTGGCTTATTTTGCTTAGCATAATACTCTCCAGGCTCCTCCATGTCGGCTCAAAGGATAAGAGATCTTTTTTTCTGACAGCTGCATAGTGTTCCATTGAATGCATGTACCACTTGGGCTGTTTCCAGATCTTAGCAATTGTAAATAGTGCTGCTATGAACATAGGGGTACATATATTCTTTCTGATTGATGTTTCTGGCTTCTTAGGGTATATTCCTAGAAGTGGGATCACTGAATCAAATGACAGTTCAATTTTTAATTTTTTGAGGAAATACCATATTGTTTTCCATAGTGGCTGCACCAGTCTGCATTCCCACCAGCAGTGTACTAGAGTCCCCTTTTCTCCACACCCTCGCCAGCACTTGTTGTTTGATGATTTGTTGATGGTGAACATTCTGACAGGTGTGAGGTGATACCTCATTATTGCTTTAATTTGGATCTCTCTGATGATTAGTGAACATTTTTTCATATGTCTTTTGGCCATTTGTATGTCCTTTTTGGAGAGGTGTCTATTTAGGTCCTTTACCCATTTTTTAATTGGGTTCTTTGTCTTCCTTTTGTTGATTTGTATGAGTACTCTATATATTTTGGAAATTAACCCCATATCTGATATATTGCTGGCAATTATGCTTTCCCATATAGTGGGTTTCCTTTCCATTTTGATGGTTGTCTCTTTTGCTGTGAAAAAGCTTTTTAGTTTGATGTAGTCCCATGTATTGATTTTTTTCTTTGTTTCTCTTGCCTTAGACATTGTGTCAATGAAAATTCTGCTGTGTGATGTCTGACATTTTGTTGCCTACATTTTCTTCAGGGATTGTTATGGATTCATGAGTCACATTTAAGTCTTTTATCCATTTTGAGTTTATCCTTGTATATGGTGTAAGTTGGTGGTCTAGTTTTATTTTTTTGCACGTAGCTGTCCAGTGTTCCCAACACCATTTATTAAAGAGGCTGTCTTTACTCCATTGTATGCTCTTGCCACCTTTGTCAAATATTAATTGAGAATAATGTCTTCAGTCAATTTCTGGGTTCTCTGTTCTGTTTCATTGATCTGTATGCCAGTTTTTGTGCCAGTACCAGGCTGTTTTGATTACTATGGCTTTGTAGGATAACCTGATATCTGGTACTGTGATCCCTCTTTGTCCTTCTTTTTCAAGATTGCTGTGGCTATTTCTGGTCTTTTTTGGTTTCATATAAACTTTTGAAGTATTTGTTCTGTTCTGTGAAATATGTCATTGGTATTTTAATGGGGATTGCATTGAATCTATAGATTGCTTTGGGTAGTATAGACATTTTAATGATGTTAATTCTTCCAATCCATGAGCAAGGTATATGTTTCCACTTTTTTATATCTTCCTCTATTTCTTTTTTCAATGTCCTGTAGTTTTCTGCAAATAGGTCCTTTACTTCTTTGGTTAAGTTTATTCTTAGGGTTTTGTTTTTTTTTGCTGCAATTGTAAATGGGATTTTTTTTTTAGTTTTTCTTTCTGTGATTTCATTATTGGTGTATAAGAATGCCATCAATTTCTTGATATTAGTTTTGTGTCCTATTACTTTGTCAAATTCATTTATTACCTCTAGTAGGTTTTTTATGGAGTCTTTGGAGTTTTCTATGTACAATATCATGTCATCTGCAAATAATGACAGTTTCACTTCCTCCTTTCCAATTTGGATTCCTTTTATTTTTTCTTCATGACTAATTGCTGGTGGTTTAGACTTCCAGTAGTATGTTAAAAAAGAGTGGCAAGAGTGGGCATCCCTGTCTTGTTCTTATTCTTAAGGGAAATGCTTTTAGTCTTTGCCTATTGAGTATGATGTTGGCTGTAGGTTTTTCATATATGGCCTTTATTATGTCAAGATATAATCACTCCATTCCCACATTGCTGAGTGTTTTTATCAGAAATGGGTGCTGGATTTTGCCTAATGCTTTTTCAGCATCTATTGATATGATCTTTTGGGTTTTATCTTTCATTTTGTTTATGTGGTATATTACATTTATTGATTTGTGAATATTGTGGCTTGCATCCTTGGGATGAATCCCACATGGTCATGGTGAATAATATTTTAAATGTATTGCTGGATCCGATTTGCTAATATTTTCTTAAGAATTTTGGCATCTATGTTCATCAGGGATATTGGCTTGTAGTTTTCTTTCTTTGTAGTATCTTTTTCTGGTTTTGGAATTAGAATTATGCTGGCCTCATAATTTGAAAGTCTTCCTTCTTCCTGAATTTTTTGGAATAGCTTGAGGAGAATGGGTGTTAGTTCTTTGAATGTTCAGTAAACCTCCCCTGTAAAGCCATCCGGGTCCAGACTTTTGTTTGCTGGGAGTCTTGACTACATCTTCAATTTCCTTAGTTGTTATTGGTCTGTTCAAGTTTTCTATCTCTTCCCGGTTCAGTTTAGGGAGGCTATGTGTTTCTAGAAATTTGTCCATTTTGCCTAGATTGTCCAATTTGTTGGGTATAATTGTTCATAGTATTTATTAATAATCCTTTGTATTTCTGTGGTGTCAGTTGTTAATTCTTTCTTTTGTTTCTGATTTTGTTTATTTGGGTGCTCTCTCTTTGTTTCTTTGTGAGTCTAGGTATGGGTCCATCAATCTTGTTTATCTTTTTAAAGAACCAGCTCCTTGTTTCATTGATCTTTTGGATTGTTTTTTTAAGTCTCTATATCATTTATTTCTGCTCTCATCGTTACTACTTCTTTTCTTCTACTTGTTCTGTGGTTTTCTTTTTGTTTGCTTTCTAGTTCTGTAGGTTGTGAGGTTAGATAGTCAATTAGAAATTATTCTTGTTTCTTGAGGTAGGCCTGTAGTGCTATGAACTTTCCTTTCAAGACTGCTTTCACTGTGTTCCATAGATTTTGTGTTGTTATGTGTTCATGTTCATTGGTTTCCAGGACATTTTTAATCTCTTCCTTGATCTCCTTGTTAACCCATTCATTGTTTAATAACATGCTATTTAGCCTCCATGTGTTTGAATGTTTTTGTTGTCATTGATTTTTAGTTTCATGCCACTGTGATCTGAGAAGATGCTTGATATGATTTAAATCTTCTTGAATTTGTAGAAACTTAGTTTGTGTCCTAACATGTGGTCTATCTTTGAGAATGTTTCATGTGCATTTAAGAAGAATGTGAATTCTGTAGTTTTTGGGTATAATTCTCTGTAGATATCTATTAAATCCATTTGATTTAGTACATCATTTAGAGTCTCTGTTTCCTTGCTCATTTTTTGTCTAGAGAATCTATCCAGTGATGTCAGCAGGGTGTTGAAGTCCCGTGCTATGATTGTATTGCTGTTGATTTTTCCTTTGAAGTTCTCCAGAAGTTTTTAAAATATTTTGGTGCTCCTATGTTGGGTGCATATATGTTTACCAATGTTATGTCTTTCTATTGGTTAGATCCTTTCAATATTATGTAGTGGCCTCTTTGTCTCTAGTTATGGCCTTCATTTTGAAATCTATTTTATTGAATATGAGTATTGCTACCCCAGCTCTTTTTTCCTTTCCATTTGCTTGGAATATTTTTTTTTATCCCTTCACTTTCAACCTATGAATCTTTTGTTGTGAGGTGGGTCTCTCGTAAACAACATATATATGAGTCATGCTTTCTTATCCAAATAACTACTCTGTGTCTTTTGATTGGAGTGTTCAATCCATTTACATTTAAGATTATTATTGATATGTACTTATTTATTGCCATTTTTGTTTAGTGTGGTTATATTTTTTCTCCTATTTCTTCTACTAATTACAGCAGTCCTTTTAACATTTCTTGCAGTACTTGTTTGGTGCTAATGTATTCCCGTAGCCTGTTTGTTTGTT